ACGTGATTTTCCGACAATAAGTTCAGTGGCTGACATGTTTAGTCTAGCGTCCAGCTCCTTGAACAATTTTCCCGAAACTTGCTTGTGAAGCGCAATCTCAACTCGATGTTGTGGCTATTGGTGACTCTCGTTGGTAAAAAATATTGTCAGGAAAAATTCTGGCTGTATTCTCATCGGTTACAGCATCGTTACTAACAGCGAAATGGGCCAATTTGCTAAGAACGATCAAAACGAAAAAATCCTAAATGACCGAACAAGCCTTATGAAAGACAGCAATAACATTCATACCTATAGACTGCCAACAATCTTCTGGAAGTGGCTGACTGGTCAAAGGCGCCGACACTTGTTTTTTTATCCGCTCACATGTGTGCACATATGGTGTTACCCATTTTTACATGTTGGATTACATAACACCTAACGATTGCATGTTCTCTTCAATGGTGGTCGAATATAGTATTCTATTTTTTTGTTTTGAGATCCTAATCATGGGGGGACCACTACTTGTTCAGTCAGTGCATTAATACAGTACTCCTTCGAATAAGAACTAGCTGTGCAGACGTGCAACCGCGCGTTTCGATGTAGCAGCGTCTTAGTTCCAGGCTCATTACTTCATAAAATCTTTCAGCAAGTCAGCACATGTCGTATTAGACCCGCTCGTATCCCCTTATCAATCAGCGGCATCAAAATCGCGATTTGCAACAATTTATACTTAACACAATAAGGCTTCTGTCACCACATTAAGAAAACCCGGTCTTTGTCTTATCTCAAATATATACGCAGGTTGAAAGACAAACGTTCTTGACCCTTTGAAGAGATTTGGTGACGAGATCGCTGTGCGAAAAAGTGAATACTCTGTGTATAAAATGAGCTTAACAGAGCCAAGCTGGCTCAACTTAAATTGTCAAGGACATAATTCATCAAAATATCGTCTTGTCGCAGATGACGGTACATCTTTTCTACCGCCTTAAGCTTGCAAAACTCAAACGCAAAATACGTGTCAACGGCCATCGGTATTTTCTTGGAGTAATTGCCACTATTGAAGTGATAAAAATGACAGACCTTCTTTCGGTGAAGTCAACACTGTCGCTTCTGTCGAAGCCTTGAAGGACTCATATACATATTCCGCCACCATTTGACGATCACATTATAAGATTGTTAATGGGTCGTGCTTTGTCGATTTAACATGCATTGCACCTAGGAAAAGAGTCAATCAGGTTAGGTATTTCGTCAAGTCTTCTTTAGATAGGGGCGCCGGTCAATCTAAATCTTTTATCGTTACGTGATCTGCCCGGACGCCATGCTTCTCAAAGAAGCGGCATACTCATATGCGCTGGCGATCAACTTATCAAAGCCCGCACATTAGCGCACTGCTCACCACATCCAATTTCTCCTGCTTCAAACGAAAATGGATGAAAATGGATCCAGGCATCGCAACGATATGACCGCAACAATTGTGATTCAGGCGATTTAAAGTCGCGAGGACATCGAACAGTTCTTGTGACCTTTTCTAAAGCATCTCGTTCGAAGTGCTCTTCGCAGCGAAGGGGATACTCATCAGCCGATGAAAACATCCATCAACGGGTCTAGGACACTGAACAAATTGCGGCCGACCAGGCTGATCTGTAGCACATACTTTTTCAAATTTGGAGTTTGCGCCGAAACCGCTGTTACGATTTGCTTATTACAAGCGTTTACAATTTGCCACTTGCCGTTACCGAAAATTTGGCGCCGAATATGAAGAGTTTATTTTTTAATGAAAACCGCTTTGTGCTTCGCTCGTCAATGACGTCATTGTTTCTGGATTTTTCAATAAACTAAGTTATTCATTTTAACCTGTTTGTTAGCATTCTTAACAGTTATTACTCTGGTATGAGCCATTGCCGTGTCCTACAATTTCTGGTCCCATAAACAAGGATTTTCTTTAAGCGTTTGCCTGTCCGGGTGACACGCGTGGTGAGTTTCTTGTCACCACGTCGTGAAATTTTCGACAAAGAAAAAATGACTCCGTAGAATCTTCGAGGACAGCTGCCTCACATCTCGCACTGAGTGCTCCTCATTAATCTTCAACCACTAATTTATCCATAATAAATGACAAGCTTACCTTTTTCCCTGGTAGCAACCATAAGTTTTGGTGAACTTTAAAATTAGCTAGTTTTAGCACATAACAGGATTCTTCTAGCTCTGTAAGAGTTTCTGCCAGAGGTTGTGGGGGTATACTTACCATTCAAATACTATCCGGGTCACTTTATTCATGAGTGATTTATCTCTTTTGCCGCTCACCCGCGAAATATCACTGCTACGCATAATGGACCCATCACACGGTAGCGGTGATTCAGCAAAACGTCACATTGTGACAAGGATAGATCTTCGAAAGGCCGCCCCTGCTACTGGTGAATTTCAGACTTAAACTCTAGTGGCTCATTTTGGAATATTGTGAAGTTTAATCGCTTCTACTCCGCACCAACCCTGGCATACCGTCCAACCGGCGAAACACCGTTCAGGTTATGACATAAAGTCGTTCCTTCCATCTCAACAGAGGAAGTATGGAGACCTCAATATACAATCGCCTTTTTCGCGCCATTCTGAGACTTTGAATCTCTTCCTCTAGCTCATTGTCAATCAACTCGGACAATTTAGTGTCATACACAGAAACTATCGCAGCGTTGTGTCCGCGCCAAAAAGTCGGGAGGATTCATATCGTGCCAAAGCTTTACCAGGAGAAAAGTGTGTGCCACCTAGTTTTTGTTTACTTTCAGTCGACCCATGGTTTGTGGCGTTCTAGCCAGACCATACTTAGTATGAGTTCGCATCTCAACTCCAGTCTAGGACCTGACAGCATTTACGCTGTCAAGGCTCTAAAACTGTGCTTGAATAATCAATATAACCTTTGACACTTTTATCAGTACTCCTGTGCAGGACCCACGAATTTTATTTCCGAATTTGGCATCTCAGATACCCTATTATTTTTTTCTTTTCATAAAAAAAGTAAATTGTCTTCTTCATTTGACAGTCCAGCATCGTATGTAGTTGTAGCAATACGCAACCACGCAGCCTGGTACTTTGATGTTAACAACTAAGAACTATTAGCGAAATTCGATCTCTTCGTGGCTGGGTCCCAACGGCCACTGTGTACATTCGAATTCAGTCTCTCCTCATTGGATCGCAATGCGCCTACAAAGACTCGCGTGTACCGCGAAGTTGCTTAAGCAGCCAGGGTATTATTTTCTATCTTCGCAGCAGATCTAAGGTTCATCGCCTCTCTTGTTGAGATTTCATCCCCAGTTCAACCCCACCTAGTTAAACTCCACGTTTAGTTTAACGCAGATAATTTTCTCGAAAGAGGTAAGGTGGCCGCTGAAGGTCTCGGTGTCGTTCGGAGACCGCCTATGGAGATGGTAGCCGTCACCGCCTTCAGGAAAGGTCAGACGCTGTTGCAGCGATGCAGGTTCTTAACTCCCGAAGAGAGCTTGTCATTTTTTGTTTCCTTGGACAGATAAACAAGAATTTTGAGAGCACCTAATATGCCTGGGTACGAGTTGCGAACACCCGCCATATATGTCGCTTCAAATTGCCCCACGTTGGGGACGCCTTTTTAACGGATATAATACACGTTATTGCCCGTCCTAGGGTTAAGAGTATAAGTTGCTTAGTTTGGAGTTAGGTCAAATTTTTGGTCATCTCAACTGCCCGCATCCAGAGTAAGAAATTGTTTTCGCCTCGACCCTCAGAGGTTGGAAATGCCAAAATAAGCGGTGTCATGAAAGGAGAGCCGTCTGTGTTTCATTTACCACCGGCGCCGAAGCGGTCGCTCCTGGATGTGCTTTGGAGCGGGGTCACGTGCCCTGATAGGAAGGGTGTGGGTCGCACAAGGATATGTGATCACACAATGGTGTGGCTACACTTAAACAGGAAGTCAGTATGTGGCTGGAGCAGCCAGTAGTTATACATGCAATTAGAATTTACTATTTAATCAGGAAAACCTATGTAGGCGGCTTTGTCGCAAATAAACCCGAGAGATACAGTTTACGTTTTAAACAGAAGAGTTAACTGTTACTCTTGGAGTAAGTGGATTGCGATCCGCTACACGAAGATCACCGACCTTAACCAAGCACCTTTAAGCGAAAAAACTACGGCAGTCCCGTTGCATGCTTCCCAAAAGGCTGGTGAGCACCCCCAGCGAGCGATTACCGCTCCCGGCCCTTTGGCCGATTCTTATTGGACACAAGATAGACATCAGCTTGTTAAAGTGGTCTAACCGTCTCTAGGCAGGTTATCGAAAAATTAATATTTTTCTCGCAGAGGATGCAGTCCTTTCAAGACTGGGTCGTGCGATTGACTACAGGTGCTATTAAGTGCAAAGGGTTGATACCGAGGGAGCTCGACTTCAAAAGTTCGTCCTATTAATCATACAAATGTTGATTTTGTATTCACTAGGAGCAGAGCTGAGAGTCTCTTTATTAGGCTGCTCAAAGTACATATATACAGAATACACATGTACCACGAAGCTCCTTCACCATTAACGATATTTCGATACATTTAGATACTCACAATTACCAAGGGCAGTATGGATTTCGTACCATACTGTAGAGTTGAGAACACAAGGTTGCAATATTAGCCTTGTTATCATACATATATTTGTAATCCTCCAACGTTGTGTGTCGAATTTCAATACAGGAAACTTTGAGAAAGAATAGCGGAGTAGAACAAACGATATCCGAGCTCAAAACTTCTTCATTCTATAATGCAGCATAAGCTATCGCCGTACGGATAGTGCTGTCAATGTGTGACGTCACCTTTGTGACATGATGTGGCTCATAAAATCTTGCGATACGAAAGCCTCAATCGTCACTTTTGACATACCAGTTTATACCGAGAGTATACAAAGTCTGGTCCTCCATTTTAACAAATGCCTATAAATGTAAATTACATGAGGTACATTTTCTCAATCTGTTTTAAATTTATTCCAGCGTGTGGAAGACATTAAAGTACAAGACTCCGCAATGCTGCGGTTTTCGGTGCGTCAGGTGTGGCGCTTCTCGAATATCTTCCAGATTGACAGCCAAAGAATTCCACATACTCGATTCTTTTTGCACAACGTTCACATTGAACGAATAAGCAATTTGACTGGTCGTAAACGTGTTGTGGGGCGAAAGGCGGGAAGGCTTTCGAGGTTAAGTGCATATGAGGAGGATATGCTAGCATGCTTTAAGACGTACAAGGAAAAAATGGGGGATCTTCTGGTACCACAAGCATTTATTGTGCCATCGGGTGATTCGAGCTGGCCAAATACTCAGTGGGGACGTAGACTCGGGCGGGCAGTAAATCGTATTAGAAAATTGTTGAAATTTCAAGCAACCGAACAAATTATGTCGGCGGAAATGATCGAAGGGCTCCATGAAATTGGCTTTGTGCAAGACGTAACACAGTACAAATGGGACCACGAAGTTCTTCCAAGTTTACGCCAATTTGAAAAGTTACATGGTAACTCGGATGTCCCTAGTCACTTTGTGGTGCCTGAGGGAGATGAAGCCTGGCCAAAGGCCGCTTGGGGCCGAAAACTTGGACTGACTGTTGTCGATATGCGAGCAGGTAAAACTTTCGTTTCTCAAATGGTCGAATCCAGATCAGAGCTGGAAAAACTGGATTTTTGCTTCACGTCAATTCCTGATCGCGATTGGGCGGAAAAGATACTTCCTGCGCTTCATGTACATCGACAAAAATTTGGACATTGTGTTGTCAAGCAGTTTTTTAAAATTCCATCTTGCCAACCATGGCCTACGAAGGCGTGGGGGATGCCGCTTGGTCATATTGTAAGAGATATACGTCTAAGAAAAGCGTACTTGAAGCAAGCTACCCGCGATAAGAAGATTTTGAACACTATCGATTTTGCATGGAACCGCAGCGCAACAGTCTGGACTGAACAAGTCATTCCAGCAATTCGAGTTTATTCACAAGTCTTCAAAAATGGGTTCATCCAGCGAAATTTTGTTGTTCCGAGCGAAGATCCTTGGCCGGAGCGTGCGTGGGCGATGAAACTAGGAACTGTAATTGGCGAGGTGCGAAATAGAGGAACCTATTTTCGACATTTTGGTCGTGATGCGGAACTGCTGGATGAGCTAGGATTTGGATTGCGATTATCTCAAAGTGCGTGGCAAAATCGAGTTGCCCCGTTGCTTGACATATACGAAAGGCAATACGGCGACAGCAAGGAGATTTCCGACAACTTTATCATTCCTTCGGAGGCTCCTTGGCCTGAAGATATGTGGGGTGTCCGGCTCGGGCTTATCGTGAAACGCAACTTTCCACAATTGTCGACAGGTAGCGTTTTGGAAAAAATGAATTAAAGCTCTAGCAACGATAGCATAGATCCTTTTAAACAACTTGTATCTGACAATAACCACATGGAGTCTAGACCATAGGAACAACTCGTAACCCCAAGATCAACTGCCAGTATGATACGTTTCCCAGTGTAATCTATTTTTTAATTACAAGTGCTAGCGTCGCAAGAGAGTTCTTAGTTAGATCGTGAATGTTGTGCATTGTTCTTGAACATCTACATGACGGCAACAAAAGGATGGCTTACTCATCGTCGCTGCTACTCGAATAGTCTTGCAGCAGCAGTGCCGTCCTATGTGCTATTTTCAGAGGATTTGATATCTGTGTTGCATCGCATTTTGTTCCAACGTCCTGTGTATCCATCTTATCAGCTTTGACAGCATTCTCGTCGCTAGAAACAGCAACACTTTTCACGGTAGACCGAAACTTCTTGGGGTTTATCTCCTTCCCCTTTAAATTCATCCGCCTCTTCTTTGCTTTTATTATCACCACTGCTTTCTTCTGATCATTCGCAAACATCGACGGCTTCGCGTTACTAGTGATCGGCAGAGTGACCTCTGTCTTGTGCGCTTGCATCTGAAGAGCGCTCGAACGGAACGTCTGGAGCGCTGCAATTATCATGGTCAGTCTGCGAAGTACAAGAGAAGAAACTTATATTTTGCACACTCACCAGCATAACGTTCCACCTGCTCTTTGCTTTGAGCTTGCAACTTCAGCTGCGTTTGCTCCGCTAGGTACATGCGATCCGATGGGTCCAGGAGCCCTCGTCCGCCTCCTAACACGACGTTCTCTTCTGCTGTAGCCACCATCTGACGCTCTGCCTCCGTAGACGTGTCTACCACCACATACGTCGTTCGTGCTAGTCCCGGATCCCCATTGTTCATTGCCACTTTTCGCACCGCATCTAAATTTTGGTTGGCCGGATGCCACGACGGAGCATCCATCACATAATGGATATTCGTTTTATATCATGCATTTATAGAGTCTCAAGTTGATGAGCATATGTACCCATGCAAATCTTTTTGTTTCATATATCATTTTGACATGAAGCTCTTTGTGTTCGCGACAATCTGGATCACTCTTACGATTGCTAAGCCTGATATTCAGCTAAATGGCTGGTACCCATGCACGCAGAGCTCGTTGCAGACCAGTAGTTTGGATGAAGGTCACCCAGACCAATTCTTCCTCGAAACGGCTAGTGACTCGAAGTCTCGACGAAGAGTCACCGCTAAAGATAAACAGACACAGACATCGTCACTGCCATTTCTGCAACAATCGTTTGAGCATTTATATTACCATCACAACAATTGGAGACAACAAAAGCAGCAGGTGAAGACTCGCTATAGTGCTCGTCGTAAAGCGGCGGGCGATACGGAGTGGAGCAACCCAAAGTACGAATGTGCCGTATTTCGTCTTCCCATGTGTTATGACGGAGTGTGTGAGAGCAGCAAGACTGTGGATGTATTTGTTAAGCGTGTCAAAGCAACGAATCTGATCAGAGGACAAAAACAAAAAGCGCTTTGGGTGCTGCAAGGCGGACCAGGGGCGTCATCAACTGGAGTGGAGGATTTGATGGATACCATGTACTTGGAGTTGAATAGACAGGTTAGTGTCTATACGTTTGACCATCGAGGTACAGGACGTAGTTCAAGACTCATTTGTCAGGCTGCTGAAGCTGGAGCTTTGGGTAGTCCTGGTGGGTCAGATATTCGATTAGAAGAGTTACCAGCATGTATGGATGACATCCGCTTTCAACTTGACAACCAGACAGCAGCTTTTTCGGTAACTAGCGCAGCAAAAGACTTGGCTGAAATTATCAACTATGAACTTAGTGATCAGGATGTGTACGTGTACGGTCTCAGCTACGGCACGTACTTGGTAGAGCGATTAGTGCACTTTACTCCAGCTAGTGTGAAAGGATTTGCGGTGGATGGTGTCGTCTCAGAAAGTGGAGACACAGCGGAAAAGCGTGCAACGTTTACAAACTGGGACTATGATGTAGGTATCGTGGGAGATCAATTCCTTGCCGCATGTCTAGTAGATAATTTCTGCAAGAGTAAGTTTCCGGGTATCACGGACCTCTCAGCATTCGTCCACGAGCTATACCATAAATTGGATGCTGCTGTTGCTGATGGTAATAAAGGTAGTAATGCTTGCGCTGATGCGCTATCGAAAGACGGCAAGAAGCCCTCGTATTTACTACGTTCTGCTTTTGGAGAATATCTCATGTCTGATCGTATGCGGCTTGCAATTCCTGCTGTGATTTACCGTGCGTCTCGATGTAATGACCAAGATGTTCATGCTCTTGCTTACTTTGTCGAGGGACTTGACGATTTGAAAAGTGATGGTGGTTTTGGCGACTCGGAGCCAGAAACACTGCTTTATGACTCAAACATGCTCTACTATATCATCGTGTTTTCGGAATTGTGGGAGACCCCTACGCCAGACAAAGAAACCTTGATTCAGTGGTATGAAAACGCTACTATGGCTTCCGATAACTATTTGTCACTCCCTTACTATTGCCTATTCACCGGAAGTCGCGAACATGCGTGTCAGGAGCTCATTAACCTCCCGGTCGCCCGACCTCTAGTATACGAACGTGATCAATACTGGAACAAGACGGGTGAACTTCCTGGTGGTGTGACTGCTCTGCTGATGACGGGTGGAATGGATTTGCAGACGCGACGAATGTACGGTGAAGTGGAGTACGAAGAAATGAACGGTGAACGTATGCTCGTTAGCTTTGACGACGCAGGCCATTGCACGACATTTACGACTCCAACTAATGGTGGCGGTGCGACTTGTGGCGTACGTATATTAGCTTCTTTTGTGAAAGAAAGCGGTGTTTTGTCGAACGTGAATACATCGTGTATGAGTGAATTGAAGCCATTAAAATTCTCAGATGCATATGTAGACGCGCAAGAACTGTTTGGTACAAGCGATTTGTATGAAGACATAAAAAGTAATCAGTAGAGTAAGTAGTATGCATACTTTGACGAGTTTATTAATGCGACTTATAAGGAGCACTTATCACTACATCGAGTTAGCATTTGTAAGCGTTATAGAACCGGTAAGAGAATTATGGATCCTTCAATACTTAGCTTACGTCGAAAAGAATGCAAAGGATTGACATTTCTCTGCTTTTGCTATCACGATCCCATCAGCAGTATGACAAATATGCCTACTTTTGCCTTTTTAGCATCGGCAACGCGAAGTACGTAATTTAACCGGGATGTCAATCTATGATGAGGATGTCTACTGCAAAAATGATTTTATTCTTCGATCGTTATCAGCACTTGTATTTCTTCGGGTGAACCGTGAGATGTGAAATGCAGCTCCCGAATCGCTTCGCATGTAATTGCACCGAGGACAACTAGACCAACTACCACAAGAAGGATAACCTCACTTAAAGACCATGGCACTACTGCCGTGTCATCGATATCTGCTTCTGATTCATGCAGATCCTTTTGTTTCGCAATCGTTTCATGCATATTATTTATAGTCACTGAAAGTGCGGAGGTCTCCTCATCAAAGCACTTAGTCGTTGAAAGCCGGGCAAACCAATTTGCTGAGGTACGGATTAGATCGAAAGAAGGGATCATAGAATTATTATCATAGGGTAATTCAGACCGAGGCGTCTGATTTTCGTTCAAGAGCGACGATGGCGTGAAGCCAATAATTGGAAATTTCTCGTTCACAACAGCAGCGTAAACTTGCTCAGCATATTCTACGTGATGCTGAAGCTGTGTTTCATCATTTCCTTCATCATCGCTAGACAAACTGTTTTCTGTCAGCAGTATCTGTGTTTTTGGGGTAAGTGCATGCAGCCACTTAGCAGTGGCCAACAAGTCATCTGAGTACTCTAAAAGCCATGACCACTTAGTAGTGTTCGGAGGAGCAACGCGTGTCCCGTGCGAAAATTGTGTATCATCAATTCCTCTATCACGAGCGTAACCTTGCAGCAAGTCATCACAAGTAACACTAGAGCGTTCTGAGTCACAGTCGGTGACCATACGCGATTTATAAGAATTGAGCATCAGTACATCGTATGATCCTTTGACCATCGCAGCCTCCTCGAGAGTGAAGCTTGGTAGTCGCTCTTTCACCCGCTCACGCATGACTTTGGGGTAGTCTCCAGTTACAAGAGGCATCAAAAACCAACCGAGATCAAATTGCATCTTGCGCTCTGCAGCTGCCACATCCATAGCGTTTGACTTGTCGACAGGATAGCCGTACGCAGCATTGAGTACAATACCGATGCGAGCACCAAGCTTCACCACACTTTCGTTTTCTTGACATAGCTTACGAAAGATTGCCACTGCTGTAGCATGCGAACGCAGTACGTTGTGTGTTGCTGCATACATAGCAGTATCGAAACCTTTACTTTCACCATAAACGCTGTAACAGACGCCAGTGATAAACGTCAATGGCTCATTAAATGTCGCCCAATACTTCACTTTGTGTCCATATTGATTAAAAGCTAGCGATGCAAAGTCCGCGAAGTGCATCACAATATCTGAATTGAGCCATCCACTAGGGTCATGCTCTGTTTGCAGCTCCGATGGTAGATCAAAGTGGCACAGCGTGACGATAGCTTGCAATCCTTTTGCCAATACCTCGTCCAAAATACTATGGTAGAGCGCCACGCCTTGAAAATTTGGCATCATCCTTCTCTGCTCGATATTCCAGCTCATAATTCGGGACCAAGAAATCGAGAATCGAAAAGACGAGAATCCCATATCGCTCGTGCGCTGTATGTCGTCAATATAGCGACGATTAAGGTCATCATCACTTTCTCTATCAGAACGAGGTCGGTAGTTGTCCAAACTGCACCATTTGTGATTGGAAATGTTCAAGGAGCTTTTCACCGAAACCGCGGCTGTTGCTGTGCCAAACAAGAAATCGGGCGGAAAGCAGCGTGCCTCAGAGGCGACGACTGCTGAGTCAATAGTTGACAGTAGATTTAATATGACAAAGAGAACAGTAGACAGCCTCCAAAGTTGCTGCATTGTCCTACTTTGTCACTGAGGCGGAAGGTTCAAGAATGACCACGCCATGTTGCATTATTGCAGTCACGCCTTTTTTCACGTGGCCCACAAAGTGACAATCTGATATCTGTATATTAATGAACTGTGTAAACTTTGATTAAAACTTATAGGTACGAAACATCTAGATCATGGCGTTTGCCTGGAGCAGCGGGTCAGTCTCGCGAGAAAGATGATGTGGGTTAGGAGACGACAGCTGAGTCAGAATGCTACGGCCAACGATAGCCATGGATGCAAGACTCACAATAGCAAGCACCCCAATAATGCCCAACATCCATTGCGAAAATTCATCCACGTTGACGCTCTGTAGCTCATCCTGCGTAATTGGGCCTTCATGCTGCCAGCCATCAATACATTTTGTTTTGGCAACATGGCCAAACCACTTGGCGGCAGGACGCGGGATGCGTTCAAGTCCCGCTGATTGTGGGTTGTACACTTCGTCCACGTCGCCAGTGTTGGCCGAGTAGTTAACGTAGTACAATCCGAATCGGGGAGAGAACGAGCCCCATTCGTAATTATCAAGGAATGACCACGCCGTATAACCAATGACTGGGATCTTTTCTTCAATCACAGCCTTGTAAACTTGAGTAACGTACTCTTGATGGTACCAAAGCTGGTCGTAATTGGCGATTTGATTGTTGCCACACCATCCATTTTCCGTCAGCAGAATATCAGCTGTGGGGTCTGTCGCGTGAAGCCACTTAATCACACGTAGATATCCAGGGGGGTAAGCCGTAAACCAGCCACAATTTAGTTTACCGTGACGGTCTTTGCTAGAGCGACGAGACCCTGGCAACTCATCTGAGTGCGAGATGTCAACGCCCAAATCACGTTCCCAGCCTTTGTTCAATTTCTTGCATGACGTCTTGGATTTTTGTGACACATCGCAATCTGTCACAAGTTTTGAAGAGTAGTGATTGAGCATGTGCAGGTCGTACGATCCCTTTAGCAATACTGTCTCCTCCGGCGTGAAGCTTGGAAGACGATCGCCCACTCGTTCCCGCATGATGGCAGGGTAGTCTCCAGTAATGAGCGGTGAGAGGAACCAACCGAGTTCAAATTGCATCTTTCTCTCGGCTGCAGCCACATCTAGAGGGTTATTTTCATCAAGTGGGTATGCAGCGTCGGAATTTAACACGATACCGATGCGAGCCTCTGGGTGAAGCACAGATGAGGAATTTGATTTAAGGTCTCGAAAAGCTTTGACAGCGGCTGCGTGCGAACGGAGTACATTGTGTGCCACGATGTACGCAAAAGTATCGGATTTCTTGAAACCCGGAGCTCCTGCACCACTTGCGTAGCCGGCGGTCGTGAACGTAAGAGGTTCGTTAAACGTCGTCCACATGTCAACTTTATCACCAAGTTCTTGAAACATCAACGTCGCGTATTCCACAAAATGGTCAACGATGCCTGAATTCAGCCAGCCTTGAGGAGAGAGTTCAGTGTGTAGCTCGAGTGGCAAATCCCAATGGTACAGAGTTAAAATCGGTACGATATTATTTGCTCTCAGCTCGTCAACAAGAGCGTGGTAAAAGGCAAGTCCTTGAGGGTTTGGCTGCATGCGTTTAGTCACCGGATTCCAATTCATAGCTCTGGACCACGACACAGAAAAGCGCGAAGTTTGCAGACCCGTTTCAACCATGAGCTTTATATCGCTTCGATAACGATGATAAAAGTCATCAGCCACGTTAGCACACGCCACTTTTTTGTGGTGCGTTCGACAAAAGTCGTCCCAGATGCTTTCAGTACGCCCGCCCTCATTCCACGCTCCTTCAACTTGGTATGCAGCAGTGGCCGATCCAAACATGAAATTGGCTGGAAAGCAGCGCGGCGCGTCTTCCGCGCTGGTTTTTAAGGCTGTTGCGCCAGCGAGCATGAGGAATGATGGGTGGAAAAGCTGCATCTTGTTCGACAAGATCGCAAAGTGAGGGTTGCGAGTTGCGTCTAAAGATCTCGTAATTTTCATAAAGTATTTTCTCGAACAAAATATAAAGCTCCGCTGCAGTCTCTCATTGGTGCGTTCAAGATTGTGACAAACAGCGATCCCTGTATATACATATCTGCTCTGCAGAATAATAGAAATAAAAAATCAGTGAAAAGATCTAAACTAAGTTCAGAATTGTACATGTTGTCCAAAGAAACTTAAAGTTGCTTGGGACCTTGTCTCCTATCCAGTTGTTCACGCAGTGATCGCTGCATTTCAAGGGAATTAAAAAAAAACTATCGTCGACCTATCAAAACAGCTTAATTAATTTACTTCGATGCTCCTCGCACCCTCGGTTTGAGCCTTTTCTCACGTCTTTGAGGTCTGGATCAGCCTCGTGTCGTGTCGAGTAATGAAACTTTTAACCCAAGTCATTGACGGCGATGATTTCTGCGCTGCGGCGATTTTGCCGTCTGGAGGTTTGGTCAGTAGTCTATAGACAATGCGCAACGGGGTAGTTGCGTACCTCCTTTTAGTGTGCGAACTAGCTGATGTAAAGAGAATGGTTACCGACGTGTTGACACGCGAGCCTTTCAAGTAACCAGTACTTCTTTGCTCAGTTTACAAAGGTTACATTTTAAAAAACGATACCATATATGAATGATGATTACTTATGGTAATTATCCGAAGTTACATGGTACCGTCACTTTAATTCGGGTGGACTACTATCCACAGATACTTCATTATTGCACTTTATCATGCTGCTACTGAAGTTTACCAAAGTTTGAGTGTGATGTGTACGTACATCATAAGGATGCACGGACAGGACTGCTGTGCACCTTGGATATTTGCGTAGAAACCACACAGTGGATGGCTTTGTACGCTTCATCAAGAAGTGGGAACGAGAGCAAATAAGCTAATACTTAGCGTTACTCATAACTTTCAAAAGTGGCATCTAAGCCTTTCAGACTATATGTTATATTATCCAGACATGTCAAGACCTTATGTAGCCCATAGCGTGAGGTTACCAGTTCATAATCGCGCGGACATCTCCACATCAAGGACCCCATCGCCCTCATCAGCACCACCCCTTTGATATTTCTGCGCTATGAGGACCGAGGGACAATAATACGTACCCCGTTGCACCATATCTCGCCAAGATATGTGCAGCACTGTGGTTCACTTGTATTTTAAGCCAAAGTAAGCGCATTACGAGCCCCCGGATGCACACGGAGTCACTAGCATCCACTTGCAATTACAGTGTCTGCTCTTACGAGCGTCGTCCGCATTGGAAGTCGTCGCCGTAATGTGCTAACATAAATCATGGAAAAAGGTGCGCAGAAGTTGAGACCCGGAAACCTCAAGAGTATATACGGTGAGACTGCCGGAATGCTCATTGTGAGAGCGATCACGATATGATTTCAAATTCCGGCCTGGCTCGCTAGCCCTCACTGAGCGATAAACAACAACCTGATGCCACCTCGCCGAGAATGACGAATCCCTACGTCCCGTTTCTCGTTCGCGGTAGTTGCAAACTCTACACCCGCGCCCTATGACGTAGAGCACACACACAAAGATCACGGCAATATTCAGCTTGTCACCATTGAACCCGTTCTGGCTAAGCAAAACTGGTTTGCCTTTCTTCAAGCGCAAGAATTGCAACAGCTTCTGCAAACGTAATCACATCTAAAATTATGATTTCTCTTTTCGCGACGCACGGCGGCGTGGTACTTTCAAGCCTATGCGTGTGGGCTTTCCGCTCAAGCAGAAACTATAAAAAACACTTGAAGGCGTTAATTGTGCGCTTTCTAAGAGCCTCATATCAAGACGATCGCCCTCGTCTCAAGCACAAGAGGCCGGTTTAAAATTGTACCTCCCCTTGACACCGTGCACTAGGCTAGTGGATGCTGGCAAAAGTGCTGAAGAGCTTCGAGCTTGATAAATATAACAAATTATAGTGAGGCTGCCGTAGCTCCTTGCTTAGAGAGAGCTAAGCTAAGGTCACCGACCTTACGTTTTTTACAAGGACGAATACGAGTTTAACGGATCGCATTTTGCTACCTCCAAGTACCAAAACCTTAACCAAGGTAAATGAACCCCTGTGTTTAGTATCAAAACTGTATTTAATTGATTTAGTTCTGGCAGAGCCGCCAATACTTAAAACCTTAGATTTTCCTTATTTATATTTTAATGCCTATTTAATATAGTAATACCAAACTAAGATGCATTACTACTGGCAATCCTGCCACGTAGTGGCTTCTTGTTACGGTGAAGCCACACCGCTGTGTGATTACGCCAACATGTGTAATCCACACCTATCAATGGTCACATCATCTGGCCTTTCATACTAAGGCACACCCCGTTACGCCCCCTCCCAGTTAAATTGTGAATTCCCACAATTTACATTCGACGGTCGCCTCATGCGAGGCTCGCGTGTCTGAGACACCGTTACGTTCTTAAGAACACCCTTAAACATTCTCCGCTCTATGAGACCTGTGTCTATAACACGCAAAACACCCAGTCTAGCTGGTTCCGAGGGTGCCGGCGGAAAAAGCCCTTCTATTTCTTCCGCACAGGGTGCATCTCTGGACGGTACGTCCGCGGCTTCACGGGGAGTCCGTCTCAAGCTCTTGGCAACCGAGCACAACACACCGCGCCCGCCCCGGGTGGCAGATTTCTTTGTCGAGGAGTTGGAGGAAGTCGATGACGAGTCGGATACTCCTTTCCCAGCATGGGTAGACAAGGAGAGGGTGAGGGTCGCGACAAGAGCCCAGCTCAAACCTTGCGAGAATGTGTCCGCTCCCCGACCTCTCGACAGTGGGACTATTACCAATCGCCTCGACGAAGCATTGGAGCAGCAATGGGAGGCTGCCTATAGGGCAGCTCTCAAGCGCTCGTATCCACATTCGGTCTTAGACCTTCGTGTGGATCCCGCTACTGAAACTAAAGACGTGATCACTCGATCGTTAGGCGTCTACGTAATCGGGCCCCCGACCAACACACAAGCTGAGCTTGATCAGCGTAAGGCTCTCCGGGCTCCCGTATGGTACCACAGGAAATCCCATCGGATCGGTACCGCGCTCGACCTCGAGCTCAAAAAGAAGGCGCTCCTGTACCCGCAATGCAGACTATTCCTGTGGTGCTCCCCCCTGGCAAAACCGCTGCAGATGATGATGAGCTCCTTGAACGATGGGTGCAGCGGCACCGGAAAATGTCCTCACTGTCTACCTTAAGCGAAGCCACAAGGAAGTGGTCATGCGCGTTAAGCGCCATTTTCGATTTGAGTATGCCAAACTCAAGGCGCAACACCGACTTCCAGTATATTGTCATATGGAATAATACATCACGCTCCCGCAAGCTTTGTGGTTTCTCACACGAGTTTGTCTACCACCATAGCAGCTCAGGGTCATACCCTGAGCTCCGCTCATTACCCTCCGGCTTCCCTGGCTATTGCCGAGAAGAGCGTCGACGCACGAGGACGCGAAGCGTCATGATTCTTCTAATCATATTTGTCCACGACGTCCGAGTAGTCTCGCCGAAGTAGCACCTCAAACTCCCACAAGCTCTCAGAGTTTGGGTATCCTCGCCATTTCACAAGATATTGGGTGAGACCCTGTCGACGACGTCGACCCACATGGCATTCCACGTGATAGTGGACGCCACTATTCTTATCAAGAGGAGTCGACAGCGGGCGAAGACGACTTGGTCGATCGCGACTCGCGATGCTCTTCGAGCGTTTGAGGACAAAGTCCATCGTCTTTGGCATTCTGCCGAGCTTCTTTCCGAGATCGCCTACCGCTGTGTGGAAAACCTCGCAAGCCTGAAGCACTATGTGCACCGACTGCCCCACCTTGCGGATTACCGCACTCTGTCGGAGCGGCTCCTAACCGTCGAGTAGACGGATGCGTCACTTCGTGCGACGTTGGAGCGCCTGGCGCCGTTAAGAACGAAAATTATTGAACGCCGTGCTCAGAACCTGTTGCCGATTTAACTTCTGGGTGGCCGAGCGCTTTTGGGCGCCGCCCCGGCGCCAACGCTTGCCCCAGATCCCGGTACGGCTTAAGCAAGCCCACATAAAACACTGGGTGGGTGCGTATCCTTCTCGGAAGGCTTGGCATATACGCAAGGCCGCGCTTGGCCACGACCATAAAAGGTTAATAAACCGTGGACGGAGCTTTGACTTAGACAGCAGAGACTGCATGTGTAGGAAGATTATAGCATTTAATACAACCAAGTCTCCGACCTCAAAGTTTTGTGCGCACCTATGTGCTCGTCCATTTGTACCACTTGGGTCACCAATAAGGGCAACTCACCGAACTGTACGTCCGAGACGACCAGTGAGTGGCCTCATAGATGATACGGCATCCCAAAATCTCATCGCGAGGAGCCACAATTCGCGGCGTATCCGTTGAATTGGTACTACAATACAGCAAACCGTTATTTAACGAATATCGGTGCAACCGTGCGCGCAGTCGCGACGACAACTTCTTGTTCGTGATTCCAAACTCCTTGCCCCCGAGAGCCCGTAGCAGCGCTACTCAAATTTCATCACCCACGTACGCGGCGCGGATCAAATCCGTCACTGACGACGTCACCATCGCGACATGAGCAAGCTCATTATCCGGTCTGTGTGATAAAGCATCGGCCAAAGCACTTTCCTGGCTTGTACTTCACCTCGACGTTATACTTTGCAAAGAATGAGAACCACCTGGTCATCTTCTGCGAGGGGTTAGGCGACTGAGTCGCAGTGCGTTGTGATGCATGATCTGTGCAGATCACATACGGCTTGGAGCCGAGCAGGTGGATCCTGAACTTGACAAGTGCATACTTCATCGCAAGTAAATCCTTGTCGTGGTCTGGGTAGCTCTTCTAATGCAAAAACCCAACTCACCCCTCGGCGTCTGCCTGCAGCAGTGCACAGCCGATGGCAAAGCAAAGCATCACAGACGACAATAAAAGGACGATTGGATTCTGGCAGCGCCAGCATTAGTGGCCGTCTTTGATTCCTTCAAATGCCTACCGATGTTCGGTGTCCCAAAACCATATCGTATCCATCTTAAGGAGATATGACAATGTTCGTGCCATTTCTGCGTAGTTCTCGCTGTACTTGTGCAAGTAGTTGGCGAAGTCAAGCCAATGCGAAGTCCTTTTGGTTCTTTGGAACTGGCCAGTCCAAAATGGCCTTGATCTTAGCGGGATCCTCTCGATGGCCACGATTCCCGATGGAGCACCTAGGAAGGGAATTTCTTTGGCGCCGAGGATGCAGTTATCGGCATTATTATACAACTTATTCGTGCTCGTGCCCGTGCGCATGCATTCGAGCACCGCTCATTAATGGACGATGTGTATCTCTTCATCTGTCCTCACGTGCTTCGCATGACTGTGGACGAAGATGTCGTCGAAGTATGTCTGTGCATTCGCCCGGTGGGGCCTGAACAATTGTGTCACACGAAGATTAAATATTGATGGCGCATTTGACAGCCCTTCGGGCATCACCAGCCAATTCCAGAGCATGCCGCTCGGAATACTCACCGCTGTCAGCGAAATAACACTTTCTCTCATGAGCGATTGGTGATACCCATCGACCAAATCAAGTGCACTGTACTTTGTACAGCCAGCCACAATGTTCTGGAGAGCATCCTTCCCAGGAATCGGCGTCTGTGCCGAAATGGCGGTAGCATTTAGCTTATTGTAAGCGTGAACGATACCACTTGCCGTTCGGCTTCCGGGCACAGGACATGGGTGTCGAATGAGAAGACTTGCTCTCGCGCAGCATTCCTGCGCCGTGCTTTGCACAAGAGAAGGCGTCAATGACGTCACGTTGCTCCTCGGCGGGGGATTTGGTGTGTTACGCAGTATTTTGTTACCGAAATTAATTTGATTCCCGGAACTATGTCGATCTCATGACGCACATCTCGGTACGGAGGTAGAACCGACGGCAGATCTTTGGGGACGACGTATTGAGATTTATTGACCAAAGGATAAAACGTACCCGACAGACTATTTAGAATCGAAGATCCACTTCGTGCGCTCGGCACCCTCTTGGTGTCCTTCAGGACAGCTTCAACCAACGAGCTGATCTCCACGTCCTGTCGTATATTGGTCACCTCGGCTAAGTCGCCTGCCTTCAAGGCACTGCCAAACTCTTCGAAGGACATCTCGCCCAGCTCAAGAAGAGCATCCACCACAAAAATAGTCTCAAGGGTGATGTCGCCGTCTTCCTCCTCCCCCGTCATAGCACTGACGAGGGTGTATAGCTGCGCTATCGTCTAAATTAGACACACCCTGGGCCAGGGTCGATGCCCTGCGTCTTGCAGATAATTTACGGCGTCGCCGTTGCCTCCCAACAGAGGCTTCGTATCTCGATGAGACCAGTGGGAACACGCACTTAGCGTTGTCCTGTGTGCTCCCATCGGAGCCTTGATGCCATTAACAACATCTGACGAAGAGCTATAGATCCGCTGTCTTCGTCCAGTGGATTACGTGCCACTCCACGCGCATCTGAAGAACCTTGCCCAAGACGTCTCAAACCTCGTTCGACCATGCGACTCTTGGCATACAGCAACTGCTTTGATACTTAAACTGTGCTCAGGGGGTTACGTGTCACTTCAGGTTCAGCCCGCAAGCCATGCTCGGGACTCTGGTCCGATACACCTTTGGTGTTTGACAACTCCGATACTCCAAGAACTAGCACGTTGACCGCCTCGGTTCAGTGCCCGCACCAATAGCACTTCTGCCTCCTAGCACATGACTCACCAATGTTCCACCAGGAGTCGTGTGCCTAGCGCCCAAGGTCTTTAGCCTCCAATCGATCCATGGCTCATGGTGTTCCAACCATGTCATACCTAGGATGAGGTCATACCTCGAACCCAAGTCGAAAGCTAAGCAGCGTTCCACGCTATCGAGGCAAAGAAACTTGACACTGAGGTCCACAGATACCTTCGGCACCGTAACACAAGTCCCCGTCGCTAAGAGAACAGTGACGGTTTCACTTAATCGCGCTTCCAGCGCCTCAGCATACAGCTGACTCATTTCTATCATGGAGCGTCGAGCATAATTGCCCGACGACCCGGAGTTAATAAGGATCTTCCATGGCTTCTCAAAGCCTATTATGGTCGCTTCCACGACCAGCAAGCCCCGTTTGCATACACGTTCCGTATTTCAAGAGCACGGATCTCTTCGGGGCTGGGCCCTGCTGACCTCTACCACTTTGGAGCTCAATAAAGCTCAACTATTTTCCAACAAAACTCAGTTGTTCTTCAGTAGGGCGCCCCGTGCCTTCTGTGTGTTGTCGTTTCCCGGTAGAAATTAGACTGGTGAGAGGCGGGACGTCAGTTTGATGAACCTTGACGCGCCTTGTGCAGGGGACAACCAGTCCAAAGGTCACGGGTGTCACGACAGACAAATCACTCTCGAGTGTTTGAACCTTGCCCGGCTGCACGTAGCTCCCCCCTTTTTTAGCATAGCTCCATCGGATCAGGCCCATTCGACGAGCTGTGACGTAGTCACTAAAATTTAAATTCGGCATTCAATGCCACATTCACCACTTCCTAAAAAGGAGACGGATGCACACGAAAGACTTTCATTCTGGCCACACCAGTGCTGAGACCCTCTATAAAGACGTTCACTGTGACCGCCTCGGGGGGGGGATCGGCTGCCATGCCGGCAATAAGAGTACGATACTGTTAAATAAAGCCCACCAATTCCTTCTTGCCCTGTCAGGCGGCAAGGAAACGCGATCGAACACAAGTTGCCTGGTTAGGAAGCGAGAACACTCGTAACAGCTGCAGCTTCAGTTCCGTTCAGGAGGGAAACGCCGCTTTGACCAAAGTAGTGCCCATTCCGCGCTCGACCACCGAGCTTGGAGATAGCTAGCGCCACGCGCTGTTGCTCGGTCTGGAACATGGCAGATGCCATGGCCATCTTGGCCTCTCCCACTCAGAGCAGAAGATTCTCTTTATCCTTGTCCTCGAAGGTATGAACACTCACCATGAGCGGCTTCAGTCGGGGGGAGTTATCCGTCGGCGACAGTGTCGTCATGTTCGCAGTCGACGCCAACATCTTCTCCTGTAGGTGCTCTAGCAGAGCAATTTTATAGCTTAAAAACGCCTCTAGGCGCGTTTAAAATGTTAAATGTATTTCTCGATTTTATTTATGGCAAACCTATCTGTATCTGATTCTATAGGTTTTCTTATCTATATTGTAAAATCTAATTAAATGTATAACTACTGGCAGTCCAGCCACGTACTGACTTTTTGTGTAAATGTAGCTACACTGTTTTGTGGTCACGCCAAATTGTGTGATCAACGCCCTTCATACCAGGGCAGGTGAAACCTCGTTATAATTTTGGTGTACATGTACTATCGTCCTTCGGACTGAGATCAAAGCTCATAAGTGCTGGTGCAAAGTATCATCAAAATGATCAGGACTGATATGATAAGCACTCGATACAAAAAAGGTTATGGGACCACGAAAGGAGAGATCCGTTAGATATGTTTGGCTGCTAGCATCACGCCATACATTGAAAAACGATTTTTGTAAGCATTTTTATCAATTTAAGCCTGAGTTATTTTTGTTTGCTATATGTTTCTCCAAGTATCAGAACAAGCTAGGTATAAATATCTAAATATACTTCTCATAAATTAATACGATTAAGTAAGTATACGTATCTTGACGCAGACTCGTCGAGTCAAAGCTTCTCTATGCGATGTGCACGCAAACTCTGTTGCAGACTTAGTACCGCAATCATCAGGTTTGATGTAGGCGATTGTGAGTCGCGAGAAGAAGTACTAGGACGTGATATTGATCAAAGTGGTACTTATCGCCACAGTGAAACAATCCGTCTAAATCAGGAACACCGAGTGGTGTGTGCATTGTGTGAACCATCGAAACTTACGGGTTTAACAAGATCATATTCATTGCCGCTCATGAATTAAGCGTCCTAAAGAAAGTATGCAAGGACTTACGATTGGTGGCATCCCCCATTTAGTACAGTTATTTCCGAATGTGGAGCCAAGCTCCTCAACCTTCGTGGAAAAGCCCATCGCTGATGAGATTCAGGAAGAATTTGAGTGCGTAGAGTGAAGCAGGATTTCCTAAAAAATTATGAATTCTTTTTGTCCAGTAATGGAATATCATGACGCGGTAAGAAGAGACCCTCCACGGGTGTTGCTTCCGGATTGATGTGTGCGCTATATACTTCTCCGATGTATCGAAATTCAGAATTATACACAGCACGGACCGGTTATAGAAGTGATTTTTATCTCTCTCCATAACACCGAATTTCAGCGTTAGGAAATTCAATGACGTTGTAACATAGAGATGATCTATTCTAAGTTAGCAGTACAGGCTTTTTTCATGTACAGCATGAAGCATTTTTTGTAGAAAACTTAATCTCTTCACACAGCGACGACTTTCAGCGTCAAGAAAGTTAATGAGACTTGACGAATTGTGTATGCATGTGCTTGGTAAGATGTACCCAGCATTTCGGCTCAAGTACCGATATTTACCACATCGTTCGTTGTGTCTTTTAAACTGCTCTCGATCTGGTCAATGACTATTTGAGATAGCGGGAACGGTAGTGATGCCCTTCTCATTTTAGTGGCTAAAGTGATCGTGATGTTCGAGAGATCGAGTTTTATGTCTCCGTGGATTTCTACTGAGCTTCCGATCCGGAGGCCAAAAGTGGCATCGAGCGTCAGAAATTATATTACGTTGGTAGAATACTTCCAGGGGCGCCTCAACCAGGCACCTGCGGAAGCACAACCATGATCCACTTTTGCTCAGCGTTCAGTTCTTTGGGGGTCTGTTTAAGAATAGTATTTTGTCGATAAGAAGGCTGCGTTGGTGATATGATTGTTGATGCTAGCATGTTGCTAATGGTCCCAAACCTAAATGTTGCTGACGCGAGAATGGGCACTCCAAGCTTCTGATGTTGAGGCACTCATAGCATGGGATGTGATGGAGCGGTGAAAAATTTGAGAGGTAGAATTGTCATGTGCGATCAAAATTTGTGTCCACTCGTCAACGGGTACATGGTTTAGCAAACTGAAATCTATAGTTGAGAATTCTCATTGCCAAGACCCTTTCGGAAAAGTTAAGGGAGCGCATTTCTTGCACACGTGCAAAATACTCCGAAATTCTTGTGCGAATACCCATATCTTACAAAGGAAGCCCTGGTTGTTCCATTGGATACATACCTCTCGTGTCGTGAGGTCTGGATAAGTGCGGGAGTAGAGTGCCAGCAAGCGATCCTGGGGCGAAGGAACGAAAGAATAAAACATCCTGTAGCTTTTTCGCAGCCCCATAGTACTCGCAGATATCATATAGTAAAAGTATTACGCTCTGCATGCATCCCTTCCTCAGCTAATAGATACAAAGGGTCGAGTTTCTTGGCAGGGTCAATCTCACAGAACTCGGTCGGAAATATGAAGACTAGTAGGATCCAGGTCAGTCTACTGAAAACGAATAGGGTTTTGTTGTACCTCATGATTAACGGGGTCCAGTTCCAATTTGAGGAGCATTTCTTTAATGAATTGGGCGCACAGCCATGGCTCCTGGTTTTTAACATATATCCCGGAGCTAATGCAATAACGTGGAACACACAACTGGCGAAATTGTAGGCGGTTGGTGGAATCATCGAGAATTCCGAACATAGATGTGCATCTTGCGATGAGGCACTGGTCAAAGTGGCAAGGCCTCATCTTCAGGATTGTGCCGTGTGAATCATGTCTGGCTCAAGAGCCAGATTCAGGATTAGAACGCACCACTAGTCATGAAATGACTTGGAGTCGAGTGCATTGGAGGCCACACAACGTCACCCCTATTTATGCGAGGCGGGTCATAAAATCGTCTCTGACGGGAAGCAGAAGCACTTTTGTGCAGTCACGAAACTCATAAGCTTCGACTCGGACCATGTTATTGTTCGAAGTAATCTGCAACTAAATCGCATAATGCTTTGACGTGAGCCAGAAAGAGGGAAGCCTCGGTGAGTCACTGTCCATAATTTAGACAAAACGTAGCAATCATATATCCCTTATTTCTGATAGAATGGAAATTAGTGACGGTATGGCGGTCTTTGGAATGTTCTCTGATACGATTAGTGATTTCAGCTTTGAGCTGGGGATTCCAGGGATCAGCTCTAGTCTATCGGACAAGAGCGACGATGTGTCGCGGTCTTCAGTGTCTGATCTCGTGGACGCTGACGTTTCCTTCATTAAGTACTGATGAAGCCCTGACGAGAAGGGCGACTATTTTCACGAGAAGCATGATACGACCCTGGTGATATTAAGGATGGCTCATCCGTGTACAATGCAACGCTACTGCTAAGAAATCCCAAGTATCGAGCCCGCCGTCCGAACCCGTGAATTTTAAAGGATTTGTGTGGAGAATTTTTTTTACTCGTAAACAGATTGATTGATCAGGGTCACTAGTTCCTCGGGTATGTTAATCTTCCGTTCTGACCTAAGATAGAAGTAATCGTTGGGCTTGATGGTTTGCCAACAAATGTCACAAGATGGTAAATCACCGATTTGGTGACTTATTTACCAAGACTCATCATTCGTCACAGGAGAGCTCGTTATCAAAAACATTTAAAGAGCACTGAGCGTATGAAGTCGAACCGAAACTAGGTACGAGCAGCACTATTGTGCACTTCACCTTACATTTTGCACAATTGTGCAAGAATCAACATGTACAGTTGTACTATATTCGGATTGCGCTTTCGTGCACTTGTGAATGTTCATATACATCGATAGTTTGGTACTGATGAAGATGATGAGACCACGTAAGCGAGAGGCTCATAATGCACGTGTACTGGCATCTGATGATATTAAGATACGACAAAGGGTATGTATTTGGTTCCAATCTTAATAGAGCTCGCTTTGAGTATATGTACATTGTGATAGGACAGCAAATAGAATAGATAGCTACTATAGAGAACTTCGTTTTTGATCTTAGTTGAATCGTATAAATCTAAACTATGTAGCACAGACTCTTTGAGTCAAAGTATGCATTGTGCACGGCAACCCTGCTACACTTGGTTGCGTTTGTAGTCAATCCACGGACGAACTGCGAGGAGAGAGCATACGTTGTTCGATCACCAATCCCCGGGACAGCTAGACACGCTAAAGCAACCTGATAGAATTACTGCATATGTCCCAAAAGGACATATGCAGTAATTACCGCTTGGAGAAGATAACCAGCAATGTGAATGCGCTAAAGTGACACCCTTTTGAGAGCCCAGACATGTACCCGTGAGGGAAAAGCTGGTCCTTATCGTGGGGCAGTTGATGTTGAGAGTATAGTTCATCGAGGTCTGCGTTCGATCCCATCTCTCCCTCTGGATGAGGTACTCCAGGAACACGTCTTTTGGCCACGCTCTAAGTCGAGCTACAGCGCTTCGCGCTTGCGGTCATTAGATTAGGAGGCCATGCGCAAGTTCGGGCACTAACTTGCAGTATCTATGCGGAAGAGGCGCTCTAAAATGTGACATGTTGAAGCGATAAATGTAGCGAATTATACATCACCTAGCCAGGCATATCTGGTGCGTTGAACTGCTTGTCTACTCGTCAGGGGAAGCCGTAAGTAGCGGTATACCCTCATGAACTAAGCTACAATGCGTCAGACCCTCTCGTGAGGGCGATTGTGGAGGAGAGCGGCTTGCAGTGAGTCTGTTTTCGTTTACTCCACCATTGTTGAAATGGTGGTGGATGCTGCGTTGATTCGGAGTATAACTTTCGTGCCACAAGGGTCGAGCTAGGTCCAGGAAGTGGTAGCTCTATGAATGCACCCGAGGAATTAAACTTCAGTCAGAATGAAGGAAAAGTTGGCGATCTCATTGCTGTTATGCTGCTCCATTGTACTCGCATATGTTTTGTATATGGTAGTACAAAACATCGGCGCCTTCCGTACCCTCTCGCTATCGGCTGATAGTGACGACGAGTTGAGCTTCAACGCAAAGATGATTAACGAGCCACTTCGCAAGAAATCATTGAGTCCTAGGGGGTAACAAAAGTGGAAATGAATTCTGTGACAATGCGACAAATGTTTAACTGCGTCAACTGTTGCCGCCGCGTCAAACGGTTGCGTCTGAAGTAGCACGTCTGGAAGCGCTAAAAACGCACATGACTTGATATCTCAGCTGCTGGCAATGTGTGCGTAAATGTTGCCGCCAAGATAATCGCGGCTTTCATTGGCTCACCTAAGGACTTGTTCCTGGACTGTTCATATACAGCGCATTGCAAGCCCAAAACTACGATGTCACTTGAAGCTTAAATTTTGTTCGTCAAAACCTTGATCGACGAATTTTTTTTGCTTTAACCTTCCAAGAAGCCAATCAAGCTGGTTTCTCGAAGTCATTCGACCTTTCAGCTCAAAGAAAAAGCCTCTTCTTTTCAAATAATAGGGACATTTTTTCCTGACTCCCTTCTTAGTTGAGCAAGTAATCTTGCCGACACGTCGACAATATTCAAGCCTTTCTTCCGTGAGCTTAATTTGTGACGCTAGTGGCCGTCTTGATGGTCGTATCAAAAGTAAATGGTCAAGACGACGTATGAAAAGATCAGTGTGCTCAGTGTCGCTATGACCAATGAGCAACCTTAACGTACGATCTACATCTAAATATGTTTCGATACCACCATGCTCAAATTTGTTGGTCGGCGTTTACCATCCAAGTAGCTCACAGCCAAAATGGTCTATCGATCTTCGACACGTTATCATGGCATGAATACAATACCCGTTTTCCTTCTGACACATCCTTCTTCCGTTTATAATCCATAAAAATAAATATTTCGCTCGGGGTTCTCGTCATGGCGCAGTCACCCCGAAAAATCAAACTATGTGCTTGCTGTGCCAACTGTTTAATATTCAAGATTCTTCTTCTTTTGTTATTGATCGTCGGTGTGAAATCGAGTTACAACGGCAAATAGACTTCCACATTTAAAAGCGCTTTCGTACCTCAAGACTAATGCATTATGAGTTTTTCCAACGATTCTAATCTCTGTACCTTTAATCTGAATGGTCATTCTCAAACTCAAATTACCAAAATGGGCTTTGTTTTCCAGGACCAAGCTTCGCTTCGCTCAAGGGTATCTGATATAATCAGCGCTCCATTGGCAAGATTGCGAAGAAAATCAAACTCAAAGTTGCGCAAACTTTTGTCAGTGAGCAATTTCATGCAGTGAATAAAGCTGAAAACAAATGCTGCTTTACATGTTACAACTGGTATAGCTATTCTTGACATCTGTTCCAAGCACGATCGATAGATGTGAGATGACTAAATCGTGTGTGATTTTGATACTCACCTCACTCGAAAAGCTCTAGCCACTTATGAGCCCTGAAGCAAGATATTTAGCTCAAAACCCAGCAATACCCTTCTGCTCCACCACCATTCAAATGGTTAGTATTCTATTAACTTTGAAAGTAATCTCTACTCGTTGTCGCTGTCAAAAGTGATCTTTGTGGCCTTTTTAGCAGCATCAATGTTCTTGGCAAAAGCGCCGTACAGCTTGTGCTCTTTCTTCTTGACGTGTGTACCGAACTTAGTAAGATCCTTTGGTACTTCCTGCTTACCCTCACGCAACAGATTAACAAGCTCGCCAGCGCGAGGCTTGTCGTTTGCGGTAAAGAACGTGTGTGCAGTACCCTTTTTGCCACCTCGACCTGTCCGACCAATTCGATGCACATAATCCTCAATCGTCAGCGGAAACGAGTAATTAATGACGTATTCAACACCAGGTATATCCAGACCGCGCGCAGCAACATCTGTCGCGATCAACAAAGGCACCTCGCCAGATTTAAACTGCTCAACAGCCTCGGAACGTTGTTGTTGGGTTCGATCTCCGTGTATAGCTACACAGTGCCATCCCCGCTGATGAAGCATACGCTCGACTCGATCGGCCTCCTTCTTGTACAGCACGAACAAAAGAATACGGTTTTTGCGACTCGAATGATACTTTTGTAGCAGAGCGTGAGCACGAGCATCACGTGCGCGGTCGTCAATGACCTCAACAATCTGAGTTACATTGTGACTGGCCGCAAGCTCATCTGAGCCAATTGTCACCTTCACAGGGTCGTTCAGAAACTCATGGGCAAGCTTCTGGATTGATTGCGGCCACGTTGCGCTGAACATGGCAATTTGACGCTCAGGATGCGTGCTGCCAATGATCGCACGAATGTCTTTTTCAAAACCCTCGTCCAGCATACGATCGGCTTCATCAAGTACCACATATGTAACTTTTGACAAGTTGCAGGAACGTTCCTCTAGCAGGTCCCTTAGACGACCTGGTGTGGCCACCACCACGTGTATACCGTCACGCAAAGCTTTTTTCTGGGCCTGCTTGGGTACACCACCGTATATACAGATACTTTTCAGTCCGCAATTTTTACCAGCCTCAGAGATCACGGCCGAACTCTGCATTGCCAGCTCACGCGTTGGAGCTACAACGAGCATACGTGGACCTGGATGCTTATGCGACACTTCGGGTTGAGCAGCAATATGGATGAGACCTGGAATGGCAAACGCCAATGTTTTGCCAGATCCAGTCTCAGCAATACCAATAATGTCGCGGCCCGACGCAAGAATAGGCCAACATTGGCTCTGAATAGGTGTGGGCTTGTCAAAATCCTTCGTTGTCTTCATAAACTTGGACTCAAAAGTAACGTCATCAAAACTCAAAACGGGGCGGTAAAGACAGTTATTTCCACTAAGTATCATTTGGTTGGCCTCATGAAATGCAGAGACTTCATTGTCAGTCATCTTAGCTGTGTTTTTGCCTTCTGTATAAAAGGATTTCTTAAAGCTGCCGTCCTTTGCTGCAGACTGCTGGTGCGGACCACTGGAAAAGTCTGTGCTACGCATTGTAACTTTATCATCACTTTCAATACTTTTGTCTTCACTTTTGTTGTGTTTCTTGGCTTTCTGATCTTTCTTTTGTTGCTTTTTGAGCTTCTTCTGGCTTTCTACGGTCGTGTCGATTTCCTCATGGGAGCGCTTTCGCTTCTTTTCCTTTTTAGACAAATCTGCCGCAGAATTTTTAGCCTTAGAAGCTTTGCGTGCGGCTTTCTTGGCCTTCTTCTCGGCTTTGCTTTGGGCCTTCGAGTTGCTGATGTCCGTCATGACAGTTCAAGTTTGACACAATTTCACAGCCAGTGAGGTGTTCACTTATACTAATGTTGCTCGAGTGTGATCCGAGGCAAATTTTGAAAAATCTAACGAATACCGGTATATTATCAAAGCGCGGCAAAATATTCTCTCTGAGTCATGGACGTGGACAGCGACGACGCCGAGTACGCGCTGCTCCCGCCCGCGACGCATCAGCATGACACCATCACGCGCCAGCTTCAGCGTGAAATAATGGGCAATACTAGTGCTGATACACTCTCGAATGATTTGCCGGATGCGTCACAAGAAGAGGAGGAGCATATAACCCAGGATGACGAGCCGTCTTTGACACTGTTGCAGAACCCCACGCTTTCAGACGATTATTTTCCGGACAACAGCATTTCTGTTGAAAAAAGAATTGAGGTGAATGCGCCGGATGAAAGATTATCCGACGAGAAGGATCGCACAGATGGGCAGAATGAAAGTGGTACAGCCAAGATCAGGGAAAATTTGGACACGTCGGAAATGTATCATACAGCGCAAGGCAAAGAGCATAGCGATCGTATTTGTTTGGATAACTTGCAATCAACGGGCAGGAGCACTGATGTGGTCGAAGAAAATCTGTCAGACTCGTCAAGGACTTCGCCAGCAAGCAAGCGAACAAAATCAACGACTAAGACGACGTCTCCCATTAAACTTGAGGAGATTTATAGGAAGAGCATGTCATTAGGCAGTACGATCGACAGCTTAACCGACTCAATGTTTGCGCCGAATTTGCTAGAACAAGATTTGGAAACGAGATCAAGCGTAGAATTGACGGATACCACAGTAGCTAGTACGGTGCTCCAGAAAAAAACGTCGCGTCAGAGATGCTTGATGTTAAATTTAAATGGAGATTCTGGCGATGCGTACATCACTGAGGTGAACGAAGTATCACTGACTCCATTGAAAGAGGCAATAAGCAGGCATGTATCCACCCCGTCAAAGGAGGATGAATGTTCACCACCACCCTATCATGAACATGCCAAGAGTGGTATATATTCATCTTTATCAGAGCAGTCAGAGCGCGAAAAAATGACTCCACCGACAGAGGAGGCTACGAAAAAGCCCACTAAACCAAAAGAAATTTTACGGCCACAAGATCCCGTGGGAAAGCTTGCTAGACGAAATTCGACAAGCCCTTCTCCGCGGTTGGATACAAGGGCATCTCCAGTGCAGGATACCGAAGCAGGAAACTCATTGTATCCGTCAAGAGAAACCACGTCGAATGAGAGTAGTACTGAATCACAATCATTAGCAGGTGAACGTGCGATAAGTAGGAGAACGTCGACAATAGCAATGGAGTTGAGAACCCGACGATCATCATCCTCTGAAAAATCGAAGGGTGAAATTTTGACATCTTTTACAAAAAGGGAAAGTGAACGCCGAACAACGTTTGATACAAGTGACGTATTGATGGCATTGGAAACCAAATCGCAACTACAGAGTGAGCGCCGCCAAACAATTGACAACGGGTTGTTTGCTTTAAGTAGTGCGTCGAGCTCATTGTCAAGTGGTGTTAAGAACTCAAACGAAAAAAAACCAAGGTATTCGCTTCGAAAAAGAGCTTACGACTCAACTGTGCGTGAAAGAAACTCTAAGAAACGCGACCGTGCCGGCAGGTCTCCTCGACATCAATCAATGGAGTCCACGACCCCAAACTCATCTATGCATGAAGAGGTTAGTGCAAACGAGCAAATGGTGATAGAAACAGAAAAACAAACGTTTTTTCCCGAAATTCCACCAATTCGATTTCCAAATCCTTCGCTATTTTCACCCCCTCCTGGAGAACCTCGAAATAGGACTCCTCTTAAGGGTATCTTAAGTGCGCGAAAAGATCAGCGTACTGGTAGAAGCGCTGTACAAACTACACCAAACAAGTCGGTCAACTTTGGTCCATCACAAGGTGCCGAATTTAATCATGGTTCACCGTCTACTTCGATGACTCCTATGCCAGCTAAGGACGCTTCGCGGCTTTATCCGCTAGAGCGGATGTCATCGGATGAAGAATCTGATGATGCTGAAACATCTTTGAACTCTTCTATTCTTGATGAGGCCGACTTACTCGACGATGATAAGCCAAACAACGTCAGTGTGCATAAGGTAGTGCATTTAAAAAAATCAGGGTTTGATCTATTGCAGTCACGAAGAAGTAGCCTATTAGCACCAAAATCAAAAGGCACGAGCCAGCGTCGGCAAAGTTTGCGAGGTTATAGTCCTCTCGATTCTCGAGCTGAATTTCGACGACGCAGGCGTCAAACCATCAACATTACACGCCAAGCTTCGATGGATGCCAAAACATCAATTTCAAGGGCAGGCTCGGACAACACTGTACTCAACGCTCAATTTTCATCTCCGACAAAAAACAATCCGTTTTTATGTGCAATGGACCTACCTCCGACAAGCCGTACTTACGCAGAATCTTCGACATCTTCGGATGCGGGTGAGGACATGGAGATCACAGGAGAATATTATTCCGCATCAGCCCGAGACAAAGAGATGGCGGATGGATTTAAGCCAGTGCTATCAGCTAGTGTAACCCACGACGAAGACACATCGGAGTATAGCTTAGGCCATCTTCTTGCAGAGTCCTCCGTTTATGAGCTAACAAGGTCGGCACCGGATCCTGATTTGCATGACCTTCCAGGAACATTGGGTGATCTAGCAAACGAAGTTTCGGATACAGCTTCGACTCAGCCAAACCTCGTTCCACAGTCTGATGCCCGAGATTCTGGACTTGACCGGATTGCGGAGGAAAATGAAACCATGACATCTTCCAGGAACCAAAGTACTATGAGTCTTGCGTCCGAAGAAAGCGACGATGATTATGCGACCGGCCGCACATCACTCCAGGTCAACTTAAAGTCACAATTTGACCAAGTTAGTGAGCCTAGCCATAGTCCTCGTCTCCATGCGTCACCAACGTCCCTTTCTGCTCATTTGATTACCATGGAAGAGCTATTGTCGTCTATTACTTTGGAAGAAGAGGCCACAACTGTCGAGGAAGGTGAAGCTTTTTTTGGCGATGAGGGTGAGTCGCTAGATAAAGTTTCGATAGATGTGAAGCTGGCTTGTGCACACGACATGTGCTCTGAGGTCGTCCAACGTCACGCTCAAGATGTATCGTCGTGGTCATCGGCTGTGGCAATAGAGTTATCATCGTTTCTAGGCGTTAAAGCCCCCGCATGTTTTTGTCCGGAAAATCTTGATGACGCTGGTCGTGAGGCAATTCAAGAACTTTTTGCTTCAGAGGCTCTCGTCGCACGAACAGGGTGGTGTCAGTTACAAGTGCAGATGGAACGTCAGCTTACCAACAGTTTGTCTGTGGGTGCAGATGCACTAGCAAAGGATGTAAAATCACTGGAGGATAGTGTTGCTACAGATGTACACAAGCGGCAAAATGAACTTGCTTCGATCAAGGAAATGATTGATCGTGAGGAACAGATGGCTTTGCTTTTAGATGCAGTTGAGGAGCAACAGGGTGCCCACGACGAATATGTGAAAGCTGTGAAGGATCTGGAACACGAGTGCTCCTCGCTTCTGTTAGAAGACTCAGTGCTGCAGAGTCGCTTAAAGGTTCTTGAAGGCAGAGCAGCAGAATTGGAGCCAGTGACTCGAGTTGCAACAACGCTTTTAGGCCAGAATGTTTTAGCGACAGAAGAGATGCTTGCGATCCAGGAAAGTATGACGGTGTGGAAAATTCGCGAAGCAACAGCTGGTACTCTTCGGTTAAGCGCACTCCTGAAAGACGTATTATTCGATGTGGAGATCTGCGTCAATGTAAATTTAAGCCTTTCTTTGACGAGCGGAGCATCAACTTCCATTGAAACAAACGAATATCTAAAGCATAGAGAAGGTAATACATACCTTCCTTACGAAAGCGATGTAGTGCTCGTGCTACAGCGACTATTGCTTAATCCCCATTACATCTCCCAAATTGCTAATGAGCCTGAGCTCGGGGACGGAAACGATGGACGGATATGCTCAAAGTTACAAGTGCTGGAAATTTTTGTTTGCCGCTCGTTTCGGTTTTTAAAAGAGCTGCGCGATTTGTCAACTCACTTTGCAATGCGGTACGACGAAGATGGTAGCACGCTCTGGATTGATTTTCTTGAATTTTCATCCGTGACTTGCTCCGATAACTCTCACTTTAGCGTCGGGTTTTCTCTTCTTCCCGTATCTCCTTACACTGACTTCCAAACGGCTGTACAGATTCCGCGTGGACGGGTAAGGCTGCTGTTTCATTTCGCCACCATCTGATTAAGTTGAGCATTATTACTTTTTGTAGATAACGGCAGAGAATGTAACAAAGGAAATTGATCTTGTGTCTAGACACGAACCCAAGTATTTTACGCGAGTGTGTCGGCGACTTCATGAAAAATTCGTGCGTTGACCGTGACGGAATGTGTCGGTATAAATGTGAGATATAGTGGTGAACAACAGTAGCTCTTGTAGCCGTGTCAAGTATTAATGGTCGAAAAATGGCATCGGCAACGCGAGCCAGTGGGTTCATTTTGAGGAACCGTCTTTGTAAAATATGATTAAAATTGGCGGGCAAGGCGTTCAGAATGTGGTCTTATAGTCGACAATATCTACAGTAGACGCACTCTGTTATTTGTGTTGCAGCATTACTCATCCCAGTCATCGTCGCTGTCAGTCTCTCCAGTCGAAGGCGCAGCAAGGTTGTTCTCGCTTCGGTGAGTGGAATGCAGGGACGGCTGAGCTGCAAGATTCTGAAACTTCAGGGTTAGTTCTGACAGCGGTTTTAAAGTACTCGTTCAGGCACCTACACTTAGTCGAGCAAATTGGGCGTTTTTTTTACGCTCCATCTCCTCATCTATCCTTTGACGCATCTGAAACTCCAAAGTCTTTGGACGCGCAGACGCACTCTCTTTAGGCTTTTTGGAGAGCGCCACCATGCCTGAAAGTGTAGTTAAAGCTGCGATTAAAATATGAAATCAAAATCGAATTGCAACTAAACGCACCATCAGGGCAAAGGGATTCATACGTGAGCGTGCCAGACTCCCCCATGAACCACTTTGCGGCAGTCACTGATGGTTCCTGCTTCGGAACTAATGCGTAGACATCATCTTGGAAGAATTCCTTTAATTTGTTGGCTCGTGGGAGCGAGAATGACACGCATCTTACGTCACTTGGCGATGCCACAAGCAAACGTGCTAACTCAACGTTTCGAATGTCACACATGGTTTTGGGGAGAAGTGCAACACCATTGATAGTGCTGGTGCCGGACATCATAAACGGTAAATTCGCTTGCACCGTAGCAGCCACAGGATCGACCTCGTAACTCCAAATATGTCGACTTCCCGTGCCAACGAGAAAGAGCAAATGCGAACTTTCATCGTATAACGGAATCGGAGTCGTTATGCTAGCCGCACTAGCTGCAGGCTCCACCATCACAGGCACACGTAGAGGCTCCGACAAGTTTCGCGCGTCCCAAAAGCTAACCTGCGTCTCGTTGCGAGAATTCATGCCAAGTGTCAGCAAATGGGTGGAGTCAACCCACTTAACGAATTGCGGCTTATTACTCTCGTAACCACAACCCATGGCCACAAGTGCCTGTTGTCGAGGGTCAAACACATGCAAAATCTTGGCACGGCTGGCAGTGGCTAGTAGAGCACCATCTTGGCTAAAAGACATATTCCATGTGATATCGTCTAGCTTATCTCGCAGGCATAATTTCTCTTGGCCTGCTTCAATATCCCAAAATCGCAGCGAGAGGTCATGACTTGACGAGCAAAGGACATCAGCCGCTGCCGGATTGTACTCTAGGGAGCGAATGCCCTTCGTGTGCCCCAACAACGTCTGTAAGGGCAAACAACCTTCCGATATTGCCCGCGAATTCAAAGACCAAATTTGAATGGTGGAATCGGCCGATCCGGTCGCAAGATTAGAGTCGTTGAACGGATTGAACACGAGTGCTGAAACTTCAGCCCTATGTCCATTAATCACGGTGGCTTTCCCATGCTGTGCCTTCCCTGTTGCGCCAAGTTTTTCTACGAGCACGGGTCCGCCTGCACCAGCAATCGGTGCTGCCCAAAATACTGCATTCGCTGCAATCACAGACGAGGCTTGAGTCGAAAAGGCGACACGCATGTCACCAAAGTGAAAGACATCATTGCGCAGTGATTCTTTACCCTGAAGATACTTCAGTTTGTGTCCGTATTTAGCACTCAGACGCTGTGCCTTGTCTGAAAGCTCGGCCATGCCTACAAAGCCTAATGGACCTGCTTCTGACGATGGCGTGTCGGATGCTGTAGTAGCAGGCTCTAGACTTGGAGCCTCTTCATTTTTTTCTGTTTCTGATGCTGTCCAGCTCGCTGGACAAGAAATCGGTGCAGTAATGGCGGCGGGGGTATCGGAAATCGATTGCACAGGAGGAGTACTCCAATTTGAAAGTTCAGGGTCGTTCCACTTTCTCATATTCGACCGCCATCCTGTCTTGACATCGGGCACAGACTTTAACGGGGCATTTGAAGATGCTGTTGATGACAGTGCCTGTCCCCAGCTGGACGTTTGCCATCCATTAGTTCCAGCGCTCGTGTTTGATGCAGGCGCTCCCCAAATCGAAGGACCATGACTGCCCGTAGTGGTATGTCCAGACACACTCAAGTCTCCGACGTCCTTGACAGTCGGTGCCACCGTCTGCACCTGAGGCTCGGCGTTTCGTCCCTGTTGCCACTCAACAGATGTCATTGATGCTTCCATCGCCAATGTATCGGGGTACAAATCGCTTTGGAATGTGTGTGTTGCTTCTTTGCGAGGCACCCGATAGCTCACAACGTCGCAGCTACCATTAATGCCTCTATCACCAGCGCCAAGGTTCAAAACTCGTGCAACTTCACAAGCATTCGTATCACAGGTCACCTTCGGCAACATTGTTGCTGCAAGCGTCATGGTCTCCAATGCGCTATGATTGAGTCTCTGCACACAAGGAGCATGCGCCAAGTCTACTTCAAAGAGTCGAACACTCCGATCTCCCTTGCCAAGGACGTATAACAAGTCTAAGTCCACATCGTACAACGGAATCACATGGCCTATATTGCCTGCATCGAGGCGTTCACGATGGACGCACTTAGCCAATTGACGTGGGTCCCACAACTTGAATTCTCTCTCATGCATGAGGTCACTTCCACTCGTCAAAAAATGTTGCGTGCGTCCACACCAAAGCACACTCAAGTGTTTCTTGCCAGTATGTGCAGCTTGTATTGCCGGTGTGGAAACTTGTTTTATCCTAGGATCTAAGATTCTCACCGCTTGGTCTTGTGTAGCCAGCACGATATGACTACCGTCCCAGTTCCACGCTGCAGAGCTCAATGCCGCAGTTGTCTCCACAGTCACTTCACTACTCAAACTGCTGACCTCGATGTCATAAATTCTCAATGTTCCAGGCCTTGAGTACGAAGCAACGATCGAGTCCGCGGACGGATGTGGTACAATATCTACTACAACGTTTGGTGTTGTCTCTTGGAATGTCATCAATGGCGTCACCAGGTCCTTCGTCATAGGTTCATTGACGGGTACATTCCAAAGCTTTATGACATTATCGGCGCCCCCAGCGGACAAAAGGAGATTTTCATGGAACGGCGAAAACTTCAGAGCCGTGACACGCCCCGTAGCATGCGCACGCACCAATGAAGGCGTAGGAAGCGTTTCCTTTCCAGTCTGGTGCAGCAGTTTCACTTGAATAGCACCTCCGCTATCCATTTGGTGGGCGAAAGCAAAGCTTGAGGACGTTGCAGTTAGTACATTGCTGTCACAACACACATGCAGCTGGTCGAAGCTCGGCAGGCTCTTGTACTCGACATTACGGAACTTACTACGTACTCATATACAATTTAAAGCCCAGTGAGAGAGAAATATTGTAATTTATACCCTAAATCAATAATGCAGAGCTGCACCTCGCACGGAACGCAAAGCGAGGCGCCATTGTCAAGGAGAGTCAGCTTGAAGTGCTCTTTATGTGATTACTGTCGTCATTTGATAAAAAAAATGATGTATCATACATAGTATTTAACAGTGGATTAGAAAAGAAGATGCGCCGAGTGTGCCGGCATGTGTCGTTATGCCAGCCACAGCGCTTATCCAGCTCTTCTGCACCTCATCACATCAATCGGCTGCCTCGTGTACGATTTGATGATAAGCGTATCAGCATATTATTGTCGAGTCGAACATCTACAGACAGCTTCGTACTCGCTTGCCGAGCGCTGCGTTGCAAAGATGAGATTGAACTAGTGGCAGCCACAGACTCACGTGCATGGAATGTGGCATTACAACGTCGATTTGAAAAACGAGATGAACGTGGTGCCGCCGAGCTACTCGGGCTTGTGGCCAATTTTGCTCGTGAAAACGCCAGTGTACCCGTTTGGACAGACTTGTTGTTTACGGTACTACGGCAGCGTTCATCCCGTGTGTTTCGTGCGGAAGAGACGTTCACGCTTCTTGATCAATTAAAGAAGCGATATGGTCCGCAATTTGTAGCGCGTGTGCTGGTGGAAATTATTAATGGATGTGCCAATATTAACATGATGACAGCTGGACACGAGTTGCTGCTGTATCATCAAAAAATGTGGTCAGAAATTCGAGAAAAAGAAGCGGACTTGAGCTCCAATGAGTCTCTTATTCCTCCATCAGTTGTAGGACATTTGCTAGCCAAGTTGACGAAAAAAAAGAAGTACAAGCAAGCTATAAGCTTAGCAACAGCGTACTTCAGCCATCCGGACTTCGATGCGGCCAGAGATTTTCAACAGCAAGGCTTTTTGGCGCTGTTTGAAGCTACTTCAAAGGCACAACAGAGCTCTCAAAAGATTGTACGCACGTTTTTGGACTACGTGGAGGGAAACGTGCGTACAATTGGCCACGAATTGGATCGTATACGAAATTTAAAGCTGGAGAAAGGCTTTGGCGCTGCAATCCAGTGCTGTTTAGCGCAAGAGGAGTATTCGTTGGTGCTTCATTGTTATTCGACAATGAAAAACACACGGCAGAAGCTGCTTGAACATGAGAGTCATTCAAAAACGAATTTAGTGGATAGTGGAAATGAAGAAAGAGAAAGTATTGCGGATACCGTGCTTTTAGCCGATGAGAACATATACGTAAACGTAATGAAAGCATGCCTGGCAAGTAAAAACAATTTCATGCTGAAATCAGTCTTTCGTGAAATGGCTGCTCGAGGTGTAGCTCGCAGTGCAGGATTCGGGTTAGCAATACGATATTGTCATGAGCATTTGGAATCAAACTTTTTGGAAGAAGTATTAGAGAATGTCTTTTTTGCTGAACAGGAGCTGGCTGGTGCGTGGGTATTACAGGTGGAAAATTATAATGACGCGCTTGGCTGCTTTGCGGCTACAGGCAGAGCCGAACAAGCCAAAACACTTTTTTCACGCATGTTGAGCAACCCCATTCTTGTGCCTGATCACATCACAATGCTTGAGATGGTGGAAAATTATCGTGATGCACCACTCGAGGATGTTTATGATCTTATGAATACGTTTTTTGACTGGAAGTTGGCGCCAAATCTGCAAGTTTTTACGTCTTTATTGTCGATCTGCATGCATCAACGTGTTAATAGCGATGCATTCGCACTCATCGATACAATGAAGAAACGTGGTATTGTTCTCGATACTAAAGCGTTTACTTCGATCGCATTTATTCAGGCATCTCGCGGCGACGTGAAAGCCATTGTAAGCGTCTTACGCGATATGGCTAACAATTTTGTTCCTACTGACAATATCCTTTTCAATTATGTTATCAACGCACTCAATGAATCGAGTGGTATTGATGCGTGCTTTGAATTGTTTCGTGAACTAAATAAAGAGAACATGGTTATTCCAGAAGGCTTATATATGTCGATGATTGATTTGGGGACCCAGATTGGACTAATTGAACGTACATTACATGTCGCGTATAACATGGAGTGCGAAGGCTTTCGCCTTACCTCCCAGCAATGGCACGACTTGATGGTGCAATGTCAGTTGGATGCCGAACTAAACGAGTTTTTGCGTATTTTCACAATGTTACATCATGGGAAGCAACCCACCACCCCGCGTTTTGAAATTAAAATGTATAAGGATTTAATCTTGTTACTGACAAAATATAATCGTCAGCATGAAGTCGTTCAAGTGCAGAAGCTAGCAAAAGATGCAGGACATGGCCTGAACGTTTGAGTGGTTGTGCGATTCTTCAGTGCTTCTGCTTGGTATATTTTTTCGTCAATCGTTTCTGCCTGAAGCAATTTGACGACATTGATCCGTTTGAGCTATTACGGTACGAACTCCACACACGTCTGGCCAAATCTAACTTGAAGTGTCTGAGGGGTAAAACACAGTGCCACATGCTTCTGTGGGTATTTTTACTAGATTGAAAGTACAGAGCATCTCGCCCTTAAAAGAAAGCTTTTCAAGCAATTGTCTTCTCAATAATTATTTTGACGAATGATTGTTTGCTCCTTCGACTCGATCATGGCAGCACTCAATAGTACACGTCTGTCATCATAGATCACTTGAAGTATCAAAAAGCAAAAGATCTGCATTGTTTGAATGTCACATTACATGCAATGCACATTTCTTTTGTGATATATATTTTGGACATTTTATATTAATTGCTATTTTTCTTTATAAGTATCCAAAGTAGAATGTTAATTTTACTTGCTGAAATATGTTTAGATATTCTTGCATGCGTAGCCTCGAAACGACGCAAGGAATGATACATGTACCAGTATTATCGTTCTAATGGACTTCGATGCGTTTGATCAGGTGGATCCATTTTACATGGCTCTATTGCGCTCGCGCCAAAGAAGATTTACTGACTGTATCGACATATGCACTGACATCTTGGCTAAAAATCCGTACGATCAAGCAGCTTGGGTAACCAAGACGAAGGCTATGACAATGCAAAACTTTATCGACGATTCGGAGCTAGAAGAAGATGGTGCTGCGGATCTTCTCATGGACGACAATGTTATGGCATCCATGCCTCGTCCTGGCACGTCATTAAATCGTCCAAATTCGCGGGCAGGCCTAGGGAATCCGAGTCTGCGGCCCATGACATCCACCGGACGTCCACTTAGTGGGTATGCAAGACCCGGAACGAGTTCAAGACCAGGAACGGGAAACATTTCGGTTGATCAAGCGCTGCAGGGCAATCGACCGGGTACTTCACGTCCTGCAACAACGTTAGGACGACAAGTGCGACTTGGCACAGCGTCGATGCAGGCAACCGACTCGGGGGTCTTTATCGATGTAAACCGTCTCGATCTTAAGCGGTACGCGAAACGGCCTGCCATTGCAAAGGCACTTGTAGACTATTTGCTCTACTGTGAACACAATCCACGGAAAGCACTTGAATTGGCTGCAGAAGCAACAGTAGCTGCCGACTACAAGGACTGGTGGTGGAAGGCAAGGCTTGGTAAATGTTACTATCAGCTAGGACTATTCCGTGACGCAGAAAAGCAATTTGAATCATCGCTACGGAACCAAGATATGATTATAACATTTCTGGAGCTTGGTAAGGTGTATCTACGACTCGATCAGCCAAACACAGCCCTCGATAGGTATGAAAAGGGTAAGGCCAAATTTTTGGGAGATACGCAACTCCTTGTGAGCATTGCGCGTGTTCATGACATGCTGAACGACGTGGAGAAGAGTGTGAGCGTTTATAAAGAAGTGTTACAATTGGATGCATCGAATGTTGAAGCCATCGCATGCTTGGCATCCAATTACTTTTATACTGATCACCCAGAAGTTGCACTGCGCTACTACCGGCGTTTGCTGCAGATGGGTGTCAATACGACAGAGCTTTGGTGTAACATCGGTCTTTGCTGTTTCTACGCGTCACAATATGATATCACACTCTCGTGTTTTGATCGAGCTCTTTCACTTGCATCGGACGACTGCATGGCTGACGTTTGGTACAACATTGGCCAAGTTGCTATCGGTATCGGAGATCTTGGTTTAGCGTACCAGGCATTTAAGATCGCTGTTTCGATAGACAGCAATCACGCCGAGTCGTACAATAATCTTGGCGTACTTGAATTGCGCAAGGGCAATATGGACCAGGCACATGCCAATTTTCAACTATCCGAATCTCTTGCAGACTTCATCTTTGAGCCGAGCTACAATCGCGGTATGCAGTTTATTTGTTTCGATAGCTTCATCTGACATCCTTATCTGTTGATGTGCAGCTTTGCTTGCTTATAAGGTGGGCGACTTCCACGACTCATTTACCAAGGTCAATCGTGCACTTACATTGAATCCGGCACACAATGACTCGCTGGAGCTGAAAAAACAGCTTCAGGAATTTCTCACAATGCTTTAGATATTTCACGTGCACAAAGGATAAATTTCTGCAACAAACATAACTATAAGCTAAATCGTGCATGTATGAAGACTTCTGTGTTGCTTCACATCGTCAGGAAATATACCTAAGAGAATAGCAGGGCCACGAGTGGCCTAATGATTTTACGCGTCAAAAGTCCTAGCAAATCGATCTCACTCCACCGGTATCCGAATCGGTCTCCTCTCTGCTTGACTTTTTTGTCTTTTCAAAAGCGTCTTAAACAGTTTGTCAACTGACATTCTTAGCCGTGCTTATTCTCTTCCCTTCAGGCCACTACTCGTCGTGTCGGCTACGTTCCACTTCACACCTATTCAGTCCATGCTACGCTTCAAAGGAGAGTCTACAAGAAGTAGTCAGGAGTGCGCTTCTTCTCGTTAAAGTTGCTGTCACGGGGAGCAGGATCGAATTGAATAAATTTGCACGTCTCGTATACTTTGTCTCCGCTGCGATCTGCCATGACTTCATCAATCTCCATAAGCGCTGCCTGGTTACCACAGCGGTAGCAGTAATTAGGGGCACTAAAAATGGTTACGACACCGCGATTATGGGTCCACTGATATCCTTCCATAACCAGCTGATGGGCGCGCGCAATAAACGTAAGACCATTACTGCGCTTAAACTGCTCCGTAATGTCCTGACCAAAGGTATAGCCGGCACCACGAGGGGAAATGCCCCATCCACAACGGTCGTCAGGGTCAGACCACACTAGATCACACATAGGTCCTTCATGAGGCACTTCCTGCACGCGATCAAGTGCGCGTGCGTGGTCTAACGTGTCAATTGAGGGCGATAGGCCGCCATGCATGCAGAAGACGCGGTTCTCGATGAGCGCCGTCATTGGCAGGTGGTCAAATAGATCGGTAAAGTACTTCCAGACATTTGCGTTGCCGTATTTACGCAAACACTCGTCGTAAAATCCATATACCTGCGTAATCTGACGACTTTCGTGGTTGCCACGCAAGATGGTGATACGCTCACGGTGCCGCACTTTAAGTGCAACCAAGAGAGCAACGCTTTCGAGCGAATAATAGCCACGATCGACATAGTCACCCATAAACAAGTAGTTAGTATCTGGGCAGACACCACCTATTCGGAAAAGTTCGAGAAGGTCGTAAAACTGGCCATGGATGTCACCACAGACCGTTACAGGGCATTTGACGGGCTGTACATTAGACTCGCCCGCTAGAATTTCCTTAGCTTTTTGGCAGAGCTCATAAATCTCTGTTTCTGTAAGGTTCTCTGCACGACGCAGACGCTCGATCTGCGCATCCAGCGCCTTCATCTCGCCGCGTGAGTCCATAGTCTAAACCGGGATTTTGTGCTTGGTGAGGAACACCCCCCCCTCTTCTGGCTTTTGAGCTCAGCCAATCCGAGGATGAATTAGCGATAAGGCGTTAATTCCTTATGTTGTGTTAGTGTATAAAATGGTAGGCTTAATATTTTTTATGGTGAGTATTGATACTACTAGGATATTAAGGAGCACGAACTAAGGATGTTAGTTGAAGGTTAGGACATCTGTTTTAGCGACCTATGCTCAAATCTATGGGAATACATTATTGCACTCACCTATCAGCGTGTGACACTGAAGCCGTTTGTACGATGGCTGAACTACATTGCATAGATTCAAAAGAGTGCACGGGTGGTGTAAGAGTATAAATAAGTTGTGACGGGGTACGTACCCTATCACTATCATCTTTTGGACTTTGAGCAAAGCTCAGAAGTATCACTTGGTATGGATGAGGGTGGACAGAAACAGCCGTACTTAAACTTGTATGTCGGATCTGCTATGAGTGCTACCAGATGCAACGGGTCACCGCGCTCATCACACAGCGGCAGTTTTGACTCTTTGAGTCTGCGTTGATTACAACAAAGAATAAGTTTGCCGAGTACCATTTTGGTGCCGAACCGAGTGCCGCTTGGGTCAAGAATTCTTTTCGCTTTAGCGTCAAGAGCTCTGTATTGCTAATAAAGTCCGGCTTAATTGGAAAAAAATATCTTCTTACTACGGATCCATTGTACAATGCGTAGCGTAAGGCTGGCACGTGTGCGACGCACTACTCCTTGACGACGTTCAATCTCAGAACAACAAGACACGCAATCAACTTTTTCACAACGTAATCGGGAGGAAGAGCACAGTCAGCAGTCCGATGGCGAAAAGTGAGTATCGCTCGCCCCGAGGCTTAATAAATGCGCTGGTGAGACAGTGACAGACATGAATCAGCTATGCGTGGGTAGCGAGAACACTTCTGCTAAGCAGTCCACCCTTTTGGAGCAATACGGGGAGAATGTCCATTTTGAAAACGAAAGATTTATATGGCCTTGGAGTTTTTTTATATAAGCTACAGCGCGATGCGCTAGCGGTACATCTGTGATGCAAACATGGATAGCGTTGAAGCGACAATTTTGCGGTTGCTTGCAAAGCCTACTCAGGATAACCATACCCAGTCGAAAGTCTATCTTTCCCGTCTAAATATGAAAAAAGTTGAGCGCTCTGTCTAGAGTTGAATTCTTTAATATCCGGGATGTAAGTTAATTAATTTATAAAAAGCGGTAGCAGTCATCGTCATGACACTTAACCGAAAACTTCCGCGTTCACAATTTGTTTATTGAATACGAAGCCAACGTTCGTTTCATGAGTTAAGGTTGGAATCTGGGTATAAAAGCTGTAAAAGTGAAACTAGGCAATGAACCTCAACTTTGCTAAAGAGATAGTGATAGGCTGCTTCGCTGCTGAACAAATCCGTGGAATATGTAGGTGCTACAACTGCTCCTCTACATTAAGGTGACATGTACGAGGAGTCAGGCGCCCGGTGGGCACTTTGCGGCTGGACTGAAAAATAGCTTTGTTTGACTGTACCTTGTGGTAGTCCAGATTGATTAGACCTAGCCCCGAAGACATCAACTCTCTCTAAGAGGGATGAAGCCCATAGCTCGTAATTGTGGCCGTCAACATTCAAATTTTTGAATTTTGCAAAGCCACGAAAAGCCTGGTGACACATTAGTGTCGTCTAGTAACATACGACGCATAAGAGTATACGCGCAGGTCTAGAATGACGAGAACACGGACCATATTCGTGCATCTTTGGGCGAGTGCATTAAGTAAAATGTCGAACTTTCTTTTAACATTTCTTTAGGGCTGGATAATTTCAGCGTGCCGGAACGCGAGTTCGTTCTAAATCAAGATTCAAGAATTCAAGAAATGATCACATCGTCGTTATGGCCTGGCTAAGACTTATATATCACAGATCGACTGAGCATCGAAAATATTTGGTCGCTCGCATCGTTCTTTTGCTTCCTAGCTTACGTGCCTTTTGACCTGGAATAAATCATTGATAGCTTCAATGTTGTACATACAATCAGCAATATATTGACAAGCGCCTCGAAGGGAGATCGGGAGGTGGAAGTTGCGGTAAGCCACTGTCTCCGAATTGATGGTGTAAATGATACGGATACTTACACCTATAAGCTGGGACTCCATGAGAATAGGGACGGATGGGAGTTATTTTGTGTCGCGGTCTCCAGGGCAAAAGCGTGAAGACAAGCGACCGTCAGTCGTGACTATCAGAGCCAAAACCTGATACTATATAAGGGTCCATCTTTGCTGCGATGCGCTGGTTTCGCTGAGTCTGTAACACTATGTATATCTTCACCATTTCGAGCAGTGACTCTACCAATTTGTGATAAGAATTTTTTCATTCGTGAGTGGAGTGAGCGGGGTAGTTCGAGAGAGTATGTCTTTAAGTAAGCAAATGAGGGACCGTGTAAGGTAGGTGTAGAGTGCACTATACTTGCTCTAGTTTAGGTTCGAACAAAGTCACTTACTAAGTCCAGTTTGGAATTGTGGCGTTGGTGTATGCACAATGGCCTTCATCTTCGCGGAGTTTTCCGGTAGTCCATACTTCATTTCAAAAACACAATATTGTTCGCACCACAGCAGCACTTGTCTATGGTGACAAACAAAGCACTTAAGCGCACACAGTGCTACGTCATTGAGGCGGATGTTCACATACAATTTTTGCGCTGCATGACCGAGCAAATTTATTATAAAAGTAAGTACGAACGTAAGCACGATGTGGCCCTAGCAGCCAAATCGCCAGGCTCCTGACCGTCGCTGGCTCAAAAGACAGTCTTTGGGCACAAGTAACCACTTTCTGAGCATCCCGCTTGAAATTCTGACTGCAATGAGAGAGCGAGATAATTGTCTCACCTTAGCAGTTGATATTCCCTTGACAAGTGAAGGCTTTCGAGCAAACGACAAGTAAGCACGAAGTTCTGCAGCACGTTCTTTCTGGGAATCTGCCTTTACGTCAGAATGGTGACTTCTATACGCTCAATAAAGCATGTGCAATTCACCGCCATCATTCCTTACCCATTAAGAAGGCGCCAACCGAGGATATAGACTTTTTCTCACCAAACCATCTTCATGCTTCGCAAGAAATTGTCGACGACGTCACACTTACCCTTTACAAAGTCACATCTTGGTACGGAAGATATCAACGAGGTGATCCATCTGCAATTTTTAGCACAACTAGCAAACCTTAAAGCTCGGCAAAATCTTCCACTTGGAGTAACGAGGGGCAACATTGAATGGTGTTTGGTAGTGACAGAAAGGCAGCTTTCCAAGTTTCCAAAGAATGCGTCGTGTGTATCCCAATTGCGACCCGTATAAATTCAGACCGGTCATAATACATCGTATGTTGCTCTCCGACCCTTGCCGCCCTTGCAACATCGAAAAGATGCAAACACACATGAACGTGTTGTTGCGACTAAAGCAGTGAAGATGAATTTTCTGAAGAATGACAAGGCGGTTCGCGATATGAAGTATGCTCTTGTCAAGATACCTGCTTAGCTTATATCCATTCTTGGTCCTCACCGATCATGCGTCGTTAGGCAAAGCAAAATCATTTCGAAGTCTCTCTGGAAAATAAAAATTGCTTCTCCTCTTTGCCGAGGCAAAGTATAAACCAATCAGCTTCATGCTATAACGGCTACGTTTTTGCATCGCCCACACTATGATCAGTCGTATCTTGCAACTGCGACGTCGCGTATTGGCAAGGCATTACTTATGGCATACGGGTCAGACGCAACATGCGCTGCACTGTTCCACGCATATTTTTGGATACGCTGATGTATTAGTTTTGGAACGCATGAATTTTCAATCCGAAAGTCGCTTAAAAAAGCGTTCGCTGACAGTACAGACCCACTCGATTTGCAGTGTGCAACTGTGTGGTATTACATCATGTTAAGATTTCCCCCTCCGGAAGAGTGTCTCTGTAACGGGGTTACACGTCCCCTGGTAACAGGGGTGTGTGTCACACGAGATGAACATGGTGTGACTGCACCCAAACAAGAATACGGTACGGGGCTAGGTAGTCAGTAGTTATGCATGTATTTAGATTTTACTATATATATTTAGAGAAATCTAAACATTTAAATTTAGGCGGCTTTGCCGCAGATAAAGATAAATAAAAGCCAGTTTTGAATTTTAAACGGAAGAGTTAATTAGCCTTGGGATTACTCTTGGAGTAAGCGGATTGCGATCTGCTAACTAGTACTTGTTCTAAGTATAGAACGAAAGGTCGGTGTAAATTACGCTTCCTCTAAGCGCAACGCTACGGCAGTCCCGCTGCAGTCTAAGTGTAGAAAAAATCTGCGGCCAAGCAAGCACAATTTAGGCTGCGCACAATATACAATATGCAACCATTTATGTATGCGCGTGTGAATCACGCTAATGGGTAAGAACCTCACCACATGCGTCTTTGCCTTGGCCAAGCTACCGGATCCGGCAGAATAATCCGAATGGAAAGTATCTTTAGTAATTCAAGTTCCACGTACATTGAACCAGCATCATGGTCTTTTGGGACTGTGTTAGCAATAAGCTGACCCCATTGTTCTTGGCGACATCGTTGGTGGTGCAGATAAGCCTAAGCTTTCGTTAAAAATATTCACGCCACAACGACGTTGTGTTGCATCAAGGCTCGCGCACACGATTTATTTTGCACTTTTGTCCAGGCTATCAAGCACCGAATTGGCACTTTTACTTCAAATCATTTTGGAGCGTGCCTACCGCGTGGTTGAGACATCCTTTCATGCAATTGCGCGGAGAGATTGATGCTAGAGCGAATTGCTCCCACCACTTAGTATACGTTTACAAGAGCAGTACACGCCTCTCCAGGCTTTACAAAATTTTAATTCTTGGCTTGGTCGATTACTGTACCGAAACAATGGCATACTGCATTAATATAAAGTTGTTGTCGATATGGATCAATTTGCTGATATCAACTAGGTTACACTTCAAGTAAAATCTATAGTTCATTTAAACAATTTGAGTGCACGGCGCTATGACTGAAAGGCAGGGTTTGCAAAAGCAAACAGGCAGGTACCAGAGGCCGACAAAGCACATAGAAACAGCAAATTGTGATATCATTTCCAACGCTGTAACCTTACTCACAATGCATTGTCTGTTTTCCCAACGCCTCGCTACAGTGAGTAAAATTTGGTCGTTGCCAGAAAGAAACTCCGTCCCCTTGTACATGCATACATCATACATTCCGCGCAGGCTAACCAAAGTCTTACGCGTTTTGTTGAGTTATACTAAAGGCTTAATCGTCTCGAGTAGCTAGGAATGGGCCGCAAGAGAGCATCAATCCGATTTTGGCCAGTTTGCATCAAAGCCAATTAGTTTGACGCTCAATTGGAGCGGCCGAGTGATTGACATTGGCTTAAAGGCCGTAAAAAGGTAAATCGTCGTGCATGATTTACTCAGAGCTCGAATCTATGCATCTGTGGCTTGTAATACTTTAGTAGCTTTCATTTCCACAAGCACAGTGGACCGAATACTCATTCACATTTGTTAAGCGATACGCTTGCAATTTTGAGAAGTACGGATCTATCCGACCAAGCAATACGCTTGCAAATTTGAGAAGAACGATCATCTTTTCGAAAATGCGCTCTACGAACGCGAGTCATTGTAAAAAGCGAATCCACTGAAGTCAGCTATCGTTGGAAAGCGCTCAACGACCTCGTAACCATTCGACACATTCGCTGATGTGACTAGTTACTTAACTGACTATCATAAATTTGACGATGATGCTGCGCATAATTGTCGGCTTTAAAATGCGGGTATCTGATGTCACGATGTTAACAATTTCTTGGCAGCATCTTGACGAACAAAGCACATCCAGAAGTGTACCGCAATGACCTGGGCCAGTGATGTTGATCGAAAGAGTGAATTTTGTAAGATATGCGTCGTTTGAAATAAAGTCTTCGGATACCAGCTTTAAAAAAAGCGGACCCACGCATGGTTGAAACGCAGCAAATCAGCGCTAAAATGACTCATGACTGCGTGAATGAGTTGGAAATCATTTTGTTTTTGAGCTACCAACCCCATATACATGGATTCTAATTTCTAGATTGCCGAATTTATATATATATAGATAGTCGTTACTGGTCGATCGCTATACATGACAGATATGGCAAGACAAGAGGCTCAATTTTTTGCTCTGTTCGCGACATTGCTACTACTTTTCCTGCAAGTGCGCACCCAGGCAAGTGTAGTAACTGACCATGTTCTTAAGCGCGTAAATGTTTGTCATATGCATTCTAAAACTGACTTATTCTGAAGGCGATGCTGCTTGAAAGTAATCTAATGTCAACAGGTACATGAGTGCATTTATGTAGCTAGAAGTTATTTCTTAAACTTTGATGAATGATAACAAACTAAAAATAATGTGCTTGTGCTGGACGAAGAATGTTTACCTGATCAGGTCGCATCATGTCGGATGAACTGTCCAAGGCAGTTTCAAGATACCCAGCGTTATCTCTGTCCATGCTACAGGTGGCTAGCTAATGTTGGTCAGATGATTCAATCTTTTGGTTATGTTTATAGCTGGTGTTGTGTTTCTCAGCATGCTGGGCCAGTGTCTAGTACGAATTGGCTGTAGTCTCAAACAGCGCTTGGATGTGGCTGCCTTTTGCTCAAGAAAGGGATACTGCAAGGACGGCTACTGCATATTTCGTGCTGGAGACCTCATTCCGCGCCCTGAGGTTTATGACGTGCCTGCAGTGGAGACACCTGGCACGCCTTGCATTGATAACTGCTGCCCTACATGGACGAATTGCTCTCAAGACCTCAAGATGCTAGCAGTGCGTGATCCTGGGCGAGTCTTTCGAAAGCAGGAGGTATTGCTTCCGCCTCGAGAGTGGGTTGCAACTGAAGCATCGTGCATGTTTGACTTGCTTTGCTGATGCTACTATGTGTGCTATAGGGGTGATCCTAGGTTAGGAGTGAATCAAAATTATGACCGCATGCCGTACAGCATTCCGCTCCTGAATATCCCATAGTTTTAATGGGATAAATCATGGCACACATTCAGTACTCGTATTGACCACGCGAAGAATTTATCTTGACTGTCAATGTCAATAAGCACTATGGCTACGCAGATGCTGTTGTTTCTGCATTGCTTAATGGCTGCATTGCTTATTGGCGCGACTCTGTATTCTGCTTGGTACTAACTGAAATGCTGGGCTGACAAAGTGTTTACAACTGCATCTGGAGCGTAAGAAGAAACAATATAAACGACTGAAATCAACCAGAAAAAGCATTAAAGCATTTCGTACTTGACTCCATTCCAGTTCCATGAGCCAAGCTTTGCCTTGCAAGATGGACAGACCAGCTTGCCATCGTTGCTAGATACGAATACAGATATACCCGTCATCCACTTCATCGGTTCTATGTAGATTCCAGAGCAAAGTCCTCCGTTGACTGGCCTATGCAACAACTGCAAGCAATGATAAGCAGAATAAAAAAATCCGTACGTACCGCGTCGAACCTGGTTGTTTGTCGTACAGAGCACATAATTGCACTTTCGACAGCAAATCAAATTTCCTGGATGTGTGACGTGTGGAGTCATTGAAATATCAGCTAGTGTTGTCATCAACCGCTGCCGCCTTGCTATCATCGTACGCAACTCGGCATGTGCAGGTGTATTACCCATGATATTGGGGTCGTTCCCCATCCGCCCAAATAGCTCAAGCTGCATTAAAAAGCCAGGATTTATTGAGATGCATGGTCGAGCTTTCTGTACTTCATCGTATGCCTCCAGTAGTGTTTTCTTTTGCGTTGCCATTAAAAACGCTATACAGATGGCGGCACTACGCGATTGACCATACACACAGTGCACAAGCACTGCTATTGGTTTAACACCACGCATTACACGCTGCTTGAGAAATTCAATGCATTCATTAAAGTGAGGCAATAGCAGTTCATCTTCCATATCCAGAATATCGATCAACAGCATCTCACAAGGCTACATAGATCAATCAGATGCACATCAATAACAATTTTAACAACAGACGCATACAACCATCACCTTTACAGTCAAATTTCCAGTTCCTACTGCAATAACTGCTTCAATTTTGTTGGCTCTTAAGAAATCTATATCCTGTAGTTAGGAACAATACTTAGATAAATTATTTCGCACCCCGCCAATCATTTCGAGCGACATTGACCTGCGCTGCACCAGCCTCACCGAGATAAAGAGGCAAATTGCTAATATTTGCTGCTATCGGAAAACAGTCAAGAGGTAAATGATGCCTTTGGCGCTCGAGTAGCAAACTGACGATGGGTAGCTCTTCCCTTGGCATGTGGCTTGAAGAGCTGAAAAAGCTGAAAAAGCTGAAAAGCTATAATGATGTAATATTCCTGAGTATTTATTACAGACAACGAAATAAATTTCAAGTAATTCTCACTTCAAAATCAGTTTCGAAAGCACTTGTTTGTGACTACAATGAAGATCGCCTTCTTCTCTACGCATGGCTACGACATTAATTCGATGGAGCGTGTTGCCAAAATGGAAGGTATCACCCCTACGCATGAACTCAAATTCTTCACCTCGCGTCTCGATGCTGATTCTGCAAAGTTGGCTAACGGGTGCGAAGGTGTGTGTATCTTTGTCAATGACGTTGCCAACGAGGCTACTCTACGCATTTTAGCTACGGGTGGCACCAAAGTCTTGTTCTTGCGCTGTGCTGGTTTTGACATGGTAGACTTAAAAGTCACAAAGGAACTAGATATGCCAGTTGTTCGTGTGCCTTCCTACTCTCCATATGCAGTGGCTGAGCACGCTGCTGCTCTCATGATGACGCTGAATCGCAAGATTCATCGGGCGTACAATCGGACACGTGAGCAGAATTTTCGACTCGCTGGTCTGTTAGGTTTCGACCTGAATGGCAAGACCGTTGGTGTCGTCGGCACGGGAAAGATTGGCGCTCTCTTCGCTCGCATCGTAGCTGGTTTTGGCTGCAAAGTCATCGCTTTTGACGTGCAGCAAAACCCCGAGGCTCTGAGTTATGGTGTCGAGTATGTCAGTAAGGATGAGCTTTGGACTCGGTCAGACATCATTTCGTTACATTGTCCGCTATTACCGTCCACTAAACATATGATAAACTCCGAGAGCATTGCAAAAATGAAGCAAGACGTAATGCTGATCAATACTAGTCGAGGAGGTCTCATCGACACTAAGGCTCTCGTGAATGGCTTAAAGAGCCGAAAATTCTCTTCTGTTGGTCTCGATGTATTTGAAGGTGAGGAAGACTACTTTTATGCGGATTGTTCGGGCTCTGTCATTGCCGATGAAACCCTTGCTCGTTTATTTACTTTTCCCAATGTTATCATCACGGGCCATCAGGCATTCTTTACCGAAGAGGCCTTACACAATATTGCCCACACTACTATGGCTAACATTAAAGCTTACCAAGCTAAGGAGAATCTGGTGAATGAGGTCAAATAAGCTTTCGTTGATGAAGCAATTAAATGTCGTAATTGGGATACATTTTTGATTTGTCCGAAAGTATCAGACTTTTACTCATACCTTAATTATTGAGTATCTGTTCCTTAAAAAATGGCAAATAAGCTACCGGAAAGGATTAAACTTCTCCCAGCGCAGGATGCTGGTAGCTATTTTTTGGGACCGAGTTCCGTTCCATAGTAGAGCCTCGAACTGTTTTGGACGGAGAGTCATCATATCATGCGTATGTTGGTAACTTGACATAACATATGACAGTGAGCACCTCAAGCAAACTACACAACCAGACCATGAAAAACACACTAAATGCTTTTTGCTCAAAAGACAATGTAAGGCAGTACAGCACGAAATGTTACGTCCACACTGTGTGTGAACAATCTATAGTCTGCATAATTACAGCCAGTTTCACCTGGCAGTCAGCTCTTCTCTCCAGCGTGAAAAAGGAGTATACAACGGAATAACCGTGAACCTTGGACACAGAAAGCTTCGGCTCAAACTATCTGTGCTAACAAACGCACAAAAGATTGGTTCTCATGCTTCACTCAAGATTGGACCAAAGCTACCCTCGCATAATCAAGTAATAAGTTTTGCGCATCGATTTCAGATAAATTTAAGATTATGTCAAATTTGAAACAGTACTAAAAACTTCTTGTGCCCTCACCCAATCCAAAACAGCATATCTATCTGCTACAGAAAAAGGTATCTCTACATTCCTCTGCGCATACAGTGAAATTTCCCTAATTTGGAAAATGGTACGACACTCCGCTGCGGAGCTCATGGTGACGTCCAGCTTGTAATTGATGAGCTGGACCCGGTTCAGCAAGCCAAGCTCATCCTACTGCAAGCTGAATAGTCGCACCGAATTTTGCAGACTTAATCACGTCGTGGTTATGTATCTAACCCACCTGAAATTGGTCACCGCGTCGGGGCAGAGCCCAGCACACCTATGCGTTTGGACGTTCAGTGCAGCGGAGCTGCCGTAGCTTTGCGCTTAGAGGAAGCGTAAGTTAGTTCATCGACCTTTCGCTCTATACTTAGAACAAGTATGAGTTTAGCGGATCGCAATCCGCTTACTCCAAGAGTAATTACATTTTCCAATTTGCCAGCTACCTACAAGCCAACAGACAAGCTCAAGCTTGCTATCGACTCTCTGACGCCCGCTGGTGCCAATCAACCGCCTATTCCAGACCGTCCCTTAGCTCATGCAGTTGACCTCTGTGAGTTTGGTGAGAGACCCAGTGCTTTCCACGACCTGGTTTGTAATCAGTTTCGCCTACCACGCTTGTTGGTGGGATTGAACTTATAGATCTCATTTGTGAGTGCTATTGCTCTCCCGAAGTGTGCATATCGGAATTACCGCGAATTGAGGTTCGCTTCGCACTCTGATTTGACTCTTCAGGTGCTGCCTACTACTTTCTATACTGTCTCATTGCGAGTGATCCCTTGGAGTATTAAAAATCAGCTTAAGAGTTTGACATTCTACACTACGCGACTACGCAGTCGAATCTAGCATCTCAAGGAAAAAAAATCACAAAATACTACATTGATTGAAATCCATCTGCACCCTGTATTTACTATCTCTCGAACATAAAAAATCAAGTTGATCTACCTCTGCATCATGAAGACCTCAGCCGCTAACATCGAATGGTGCAAGCAATGGCGTGCAAAGTCATCACGCCAGCAAGTGACTATCCCCACGGACGCAACTTTTGCGGAAGCTGAACGAGCGTTCAAGGACGAAGACCGCACGATCAATGAGCGAAAGGCGGCAGCGCTACGTGGCGTACCCACACCTGTTAACAGCGATCAGTGCTATCCCATGTGGAATCCCGCGAGAGAACTGACCTTCACGTTTTCGGACACGGAGATCATGAGGAAGATGATCAGAAGTCCACGCTATGGACGTTAAAGTCACGGAGGTGTATCATCCACCTCCGTGACTTTAAGTAGTTCGGGGAAAAGGAGTGAGCTTCACGTGTTCCGATCGCGAGATGTGCACGAAGCTGGACAATCGGAGCCTTTCCATCTGTGGAAAGACCTTCAACTCTTCGTCCTACTCTAAGTATTCGCACTGGTACTATGTGGAGTTACAACGCCTCGCTGATGACGTCACCGACAGCATCATCTACGACTGGTTTCTGGCCCACAACGCACCTCTCGTGTTCATTACCCCAGCCCAAACCGCCAACGGACTACAGTCACGCAATATAAGGGTCTACTTTAACAGAAAGAGCCCCCCCTCAGCGGCTATTATAATCGAAGGCAAAGAGCCGCTACGCCAGATCTAGCTCACTGCGTGTGGCTATTGTGTTGTCAGTCACCGTATTCAAGCCTATAATAATGAGACCCCACCGTTTTTATTGGAAAGGCGAAAGAACAAGCCCAGCGTAGACGTGTTGGCTACCAAAGCAAGCAGCGATGCTCCCTCTAACGCAGGGGTGCAATCAACCACACGCAGCTGACACTGGAGGCGACTCAGATGCCGATATCGGATCGGACTCTGATATGACCTCGTTGTCTGTCAGACCATCCTCGATGTGGACCTCCAAAGCAACGATGATATCCATCCCCATTCCACCTCTCCCAGATGTATGCGATGCGTATCATCTGATCGAGAGGAGCAAGAAGATAATATTCTCATCGGTACCAGCTGATCAGCCACTAGTCTTTCTGCTGCCACTATCTCAAGCCGGCTATCCACTATTCGTGTCTCACAACGTGTATGAGTGAATTACGCTGGGCTCGGAAGAGCCGTCTATCTCTCCGGATATAGACGTCACCCTCCATAATTCAAGATCGCTCATCTATCCGATCGCAAATAACCCCAAGTGAGTTAGATCGAGGTGCAGCGCACAACCATTGTCTACGACGTTGATTCCATGTCGGTTGAGAGTCTGTGCAGTTACATCCGGGAGTTCCTTCAAAAATTTGAAGAAGAATACAGTCCGGAGATGAACATAGTCGCGGTCAAAAGCCAGCTAAGTCATTTTCACCCGCTCTATGTCACGATTATCTCGAGTAAACTACAAGGTGATGATGGGCTGTTCTACGGTCACGCCTTGTTACGGACGGTCAGCTCACAGGAAGCTGCTACCAGAACTCGAGACATTTGAGGACAAGATCCAAGCTGTGTTCAACCCCCAAGATCCCGAAGATTACTAGACCATGCTCATACAGTGTCTCAACCATAATCAGCGCTTTTCTGGCAGCAAGTCTGGATCGCCGAATTCGATTTATTGTTTCAAGTGATGACCCCAAACATCTACTCCGACCCATATAAAGTGTGTGCGATTTCACAGACCCCGGCCCCGAGACTTCAGCATACACTTTGGTTACTATGGGGTGATGCAACGCTACTGAATTTACTCTAATCCAAACTATTGGAGAAATTGGCTAATATGTGTCTACCAATTGAGCTTTCTACCTCGATCTGCGAGCTGCGCAAGGGCCTCTCCCCCAGCCCGCCTTCTCTCTAATGTAGACTGGGCCCTACGGGGCTACTCTATCAATGTGAACGGGTTTAACCGACTCACTCAGAGTACACTCAACTTCTTTTCATCCAAGTTCCATATTATCGCATTACAAGAAATCAAGTTCACCAACCCAGCTAACCAAAAGCATGCGGTCTTTTTGTGGAAAAAGGCCACAACATCGCTTTTTGGTCCCATGACCATTCCAACATGTATACCGGGAAGGCGGGAGTTGGTATTTTACTCACCCCCACCTGTCCGGTCCAAGATATCCCAAGATATCATGGAAATTCAAGTGAGTGGCCCAGACACTCTCTCGAGTTATCTCGTGCTCAAAGGTACACTCGATGGCTCTCCAGCCTATATACATGCAGTGTTCGCCCCCAGTAAACCCATCCGACCCACCGAGCTTCTTTGATAGTCTCCCCCGACAATTCGAAGATAATGCCATACATTTAGCTCTCGGAGACTTCAATTTCGTTTTTTCGACCCAGCTCGATCAAGTCCACGCCACCAACAGAGCCCGTCGCGAGGGCCGTTAAGAACTCCCGGAGTGGACGCAGGCTCTGAATCTTTTTGATGCCTGGCGCATGCAAAGCCCCCATGTTCGCGAATTTACCAGCCCAAACCGAAACGCTCGCTTCGACTTCTTCCTTCCGATATATTCAACCGGCAGCTCACCCAACTCAAACATGATTGGAAGCACCAGCCCAATAAAGCCGACCACTGCGAAATCGATTTCACCCTCGGTTCCGCACTATTCAAGCCAAGAACAAGAGCACTGAGGAGATGCCCGAGCTGGGTCATCGAATAACCCGAAGCCCAAGAATACCTGAAGATGTCCCTGATGAAAATGGCAGAATCCATGAACCCGATTATTAAATCGACATTCAACCCAGGATACCTGCTCGACGAACAAAAGCGCCAAGACTGCATCTACTTACGCCAGCTATTCAACGATAACAAGAACAAACGGCAAATCGAGATCGAAGATCTACACCTGCGCATCAATCAGCTTCAACACCTTCAGCATCTCAACCCGTCTGAAGAAGTATCAACAACCCTGAGCTCGCTCCAGCAAACCTTACGAGCACATATTGAAGAAAAAAATCAGCACAAACCCAGACAAAAATTTGCCTCTGACCTGTCCCAGACAGAAAAATGTACCAAGTATTTTTTTTCGACCTCCAACGCTCCTGCACAAGACCACTATCCCAGTACAATCGACAGAAGACTTAAATTTTGTATGCGAAGAATTTAATAGGTACTGGAGTGGTATCTATTGCTCGCCATCTCGTGAGTACTCCCATCCAAAGCCAAAGTGGAACCCACTCAGGCTATCAAGAATCCTCCAGCACACCAAGACCAAATTATAAGAAGAAGACCAGCATATTCCAGATAGTCCGCTCACTGTGAACGACTTCTATTATGCACTGAAACACACCACATCAAGCAAGGTCCCAAGTCCAGATGGTCTCCCGCTTGCTAACTACCTGGTGGATATCCATCTTTGGAGCAAGATACTAGAAGTGGTACACTCGTCTTAATTCCAACTCGGCAAAATGACAAAGTTTAAGAGAAGAGGACAGATCTCGCTCCTATACAAGAGCGGTGACCGACATGTACCCAGTAACTATCGGCCAATCA